GTATACGTGTCAATAGTCTGCTCCAGCACCTGGGACTGGGAGGAATATGACAATGGCCAGAAGCCCCTCCACGTCTACTACTGTTTGTGCAGCCAGATGGTCCTGGTGCTTGAGCAAAAGGGGTCTGCAAGAGCTGGCTAAACTGGAAACCAAAAAAGCAAAGATGAAGGGGACCTTGACTGACAAATTCAAAAGATCAGGACCTTTCTCTGAACCCAGACCGCAGGCAAACGTTTAGATCAGGAAGAAAAAGAACTTTTGACTCTCTCGTAATTGATGTTTCTCTCTCTCTCTCCTCCCTTCCTCTCTGAAATCAAGAAAGACATACTAAAAAAAAAGACTGAAGGGCTGGGTTTATCTAACATTACTTACTATATTACATTGAATTTGCTTTTTTTGGTGGGCAGGAGCATGTGGTTTGGGCCAAGTTAATAAATGAATTAACTTGAGTCAATGAGTCTATAAAATCTGAGACGTGGAATATAAAAATAGAAATATTTACTCAATGAAGTAAATAAATGAAGTTAATAAATGAATTGTTTATGTGGTTTACTGGGTTCTTAATAAATAAACTCCCAGAAGAATTTACTACTGCAGCAGAGTATCTCTAATCAGAAGTAGGCATCTGGTTGTTGCCTAGCTTTCTGAGTTTTGGAAGACTGTGAAAGCACTGATACTGTTGATATTTATTTTCCTCCCAGGTGATTAATAAACAGAGGCTATTGTGACTTACTTTAGTACCAGGTGTGATCTGGTGGGTAGTTCAACTTCTGGTGGGTAGTCAGTGTAACTGTAGAATGTTCATAATTTAGATGTAATCCAACTCCCAAGCATTTTTGTTTCAGAAACTGGGACAGCTTCCAGGTTAGTTTTGTGAATCTTTAATATCTCATGCCAGACTCATTAACTCAGCCTGTTCACCTTGGAGAAATTATAGTTCCAGGCTTGTACTTTTTGTAAAAACCATCCTCTTAAGTGAATGTGATGGTTGAACATTCAGACTTGAGCCTTTCAGTAGTTTATTCTGGAACCTGTTTGCTGTGGCTTTGACCAGCAGAGACTAATTAAGATGAAGAAGGAAACCAAAATCATGATATGCAAATTATTAACCTTTAAAGGTATGGAATTGAGTAAATATTTCTATTTTTATATTCCACGTCTCAGATTTTATAGACTCATGGAGATACAAAGAATCTTAACCATTTTAGACCAGTGTTTCTTAATTTTTTCTTGTCTTACGGATCTTTTTGAGATTATGACAGCTGTGGATTCTCTTGTCAGAAAAAATATACTCACATATAAAAGTTTATAATTAGATGTAAGACACTTACACTCCTAAAGCCTGTTAATGGATCGTGGGTGGAAGAAACCCCTCTTCTAATTCAAAGCCTATCCTCGGGTCTGGAGAAGTTAAGTGACCCACCCAGAATCACACTGCTTCTCTGTTGACTACTACTGTTAGTCTGTTGGTTCTTCCACCATTCTGTTCCTTTCCTTAAATACCAATTCTGGCCCCGGCCGGTGCTCGGGATGATGCTCCAGCCAACTTCAGCGACACTGGCCAGGGTTAAGCAAAGTTTTTTTTATAACTTGCTGTGGTTATTCAAGGGCTTATCCAAGATTCCTAGTTGATCTAATTATTCCATCAGTTTCTTACCTGGGCTGCCTACATCTAAGTTCATCATGTATCTGTCAAACAAACCATTCTAGAGCAGCTTGATCTGATAAAAAATAGGTTCATTCACACCAGTCGGCTATTGTTGTGTTGCCTGTTGTGATTTTTTTTAATTTGACAATTTAAGGGTAAAGAGGTCAGTGCCCTTGACTAAACAGTCAGGTATTACATGTTTTAAAAATTCTTGTGGCACACTCATTGGAAATCGCTGCACTAGAGCACTTGTTTATTCATCATGTCTGTCTTTCTTTTTCTTGCACCCCCATCACTGTGCTCAACCTGACCTACTGAGCCTTTTGGAGGAGGTATCAAGCTGGAAGCATAAATCCAGTTTTGTTGTCTCCTAGGAATGTACCTTTCATCACATTACTCAGTTTCTCTCTATTGTAATATCTTCATCTATAAAATTGAACAAACACATCACCATTTATCTTACATCCCATCATGTTGTAAGAAATGTAGCACCTAGCTCAGTTAGTTGACAGCTTTCACTGTTTCCTGCTACACCCATCACATTCTTCATTGGAGTTAGGCAGGTGTCTCCAAGTACTCAGTGCTTATTTCCTTTGCAGTGTTTATTGTTGCATCATTTATTCAGCATTAACTAAGTCTCTTCTCTGTTTTAGTCGCTGGTATATTGGGTTGGTGGTATATGTCATGTTCTCATTCTTTTTCTTCTATTCATCATAGTTTCTTTATTGATACTAATGTATGCAACTTCAGCAGTCTCTTCTACAAAATTTGATCAAGTTATCAGAAGACTATTTATGAAGCTTTTTATAAAATTTTCTCCCAGCTTTTCATTGTAAAGATGACAATTATTTTATTTTCAATGAGGAAACACTTGATGTAAGAGACTCTTCTTTTTGAAGCCCAGATTTATATCTCTAGAGTGATAGAACGCACTAAAATATGACAAAACTGAGCTGCTAATTTGATGCTGAGGGAAATAATTTAGTTTGCCACTATAGGGAAGCAGGCCATTAAAACAATAATAAATTTGCTACTATAGATTCCTTTGGACTGTAAACATGACAACACCTTTTTTCTGTGGATAACTTACATCTTATTTGGCTATGTATGTTATTTCAAAAATCCTCCAAGGCTCTGAATTTCTTTCAAGAATGCCCCTTTAATCTAAAGTTACTGTTTAGTAGAAGTGAATTTGAGTAAAAATTATAGTGATATTAATTGCCTCCCATGCTTTGAGAAAGAACTAGAATTGCTGATTGAAAAATTTAAGGGAGGGCCTGGCTGGGCGTGGCTCAGCGGTCGAGTGTCGACCTGACATCCAGGCGATCAGGGTTCAATTCCCGGTCAGGGCACATGCCTGGGTTGCAGGCTCGATCAGTGACTCTCTCATCATTGATGTTTCTGTCTCTCTCTCTCCCTCTCCTTTCCTCTCTCTGAAATCAATAAAGATATATTTTTTAAAAAAAGAAAGAAAAGAAAAATTTAAGGGAGGGATTAAAGGGGATAAACTAGAAAATTGCCTTTAAAAAAAGCATTCTTGCTAGTAAACTAACTGTTAAGAGATATAAGTTAAGCACTTGGAATTGAAGTGGAGGGAACAGAGTTAAGCTAGATTAACTCATAGAATAGAGGTTGATTTCTGAAACACAGAAAGGCACCTCAGAAAAGCCATTAAAATATCTGTTGTTACTTAGACGAGTAGGGAGAAAGTTTAGAAATGCTGTGTTATAATCTTATGATTACCTAGGAATATATTAAAGTCAGTTTTAATATAATAATTTATCACTAAGTACAGAAATGAGTTTTATATTAGTATTGATGCCTACTTAAATTCTGCAATGAAATCAGAAATCAGTTCCCTAGAAACCTTTTTCTCCTTGAAGCAATCCTCAGTTTGTTAATATTTACTATTTTCTTTTTTTAAAAAATATGTTTTTACTGATTTCAGAGAGAGGAAGGGAGTTGGTGAGAGAGAGAGAGAAACATCAATAATGGAGAGTCATTGATTGGCTGCCTCCTGCATGTCCCCTACCTGGATAGAGCCCAAAACCCAGGCATGTGACCTCCTAGTTCATGGAACGACTCTCAGCCACTGGGTGGCCTACTATTTTCTTTATTGTCTTATATTTATTATTAAGTAAAAAGAATCTTATTATTTTGAAAATGACACTTTTTACCAACCTATATTGGTAATATTTATAGAAGGCACACAGAATTCACTTTGAACAGGTTAGAATACTATGGAAAGTCAAAGGAAATGGTGCTTTATTATGGTATGTATAATTAACAGTTGTATTGCCTTTATGAACAAGGAAACTAAAGGATATTTAAGGAGATGTGTATTGCCCTGGCTGGTATGGTTCACTAGTTAGAGCGCTGGCCCACGCACTGAAGGGTCACAGGTTCAATTCCCTGTCAAGGGCACTTACCTGGGTTGCAGGTTCGATCCCCAGACCCTGGTCAGGGTGTGTGTAGGAGTCAGTCAATCAATGTCTCTCTCTCACATGATGTTTCTCCCCCTCCCTTCCCCTCTCTCTCTGTCTCCCCCTCTCTCCCCCTCTTCCCTTCCCTCCCTTCCACGCTCTCTCTAAAAACCAATGGAAAAAATATCCTCAAAGGAGGATTAACAAAAAAAATTTTAAAATAAAAATAAAGGCAATGTTTATTGCAAAGCTCGGCAATATTAGGCATAACCTAGTCTACCTTTTTTGTCATGGAATTGGAAGTTTATTTTGTCTCTGGTACATGTACCTGGCTTTACAAAACAGATGTAGTCATGGGAAAATAAATACACACACACACACACACACACATAAAATTTCTGTTTTTCTTTAACTTTCTATTTTTAATTATAGACTTGCAGGATTATAGATTTATAGAAGTTACAAACACAGTACACAGAGGTACTGTGTACCCATCACCTAGCTTCCCCTAACAGTGACAGGAGACTAATTTTTAAATCACTGATGGACCTTTTTTGCTCTCTTGATAAGCCTGTTTTTTTAGATATCTAACTTTGTTTAAAGAAAGGACATCCTTTATTGTGCCTCATCCTCTTTAGCTTTCAGAATTATGAAGTGTCATGTAAGGGCCCTTATGTCACTATTGCTTTATCTCTAGTACATTCTTCATTTTCCCCATTTCCAGATTGTGCCATTGATTGGAAAAGGATTATATCTCATCTACTTTCCTTGTGTATTTTTCAGTAAAAGCCCCACTTTACTCCTTATATTGAAGAAACATATTTAGTTGAATATTCAGATTTCTTGTTTTGAGTTTATTTTGGTGGTGTTTGAAAACTTGAGATCTGAGATTTCTTTTTAACATCATTTCTTCTTTATTTTCCTTTTAGCCTGAAAATGAAATTTCCTCAGATTGTAATCATGTAAGTATGACTTTTCATAATTCACCATCTGTGCTTTATATATATAATGACAAATCTTGAGATACTTTTCCTGTTGTTCTGGGAAACATTATGATTGGTGTTTTTTTTTATTCTCTTAATCTTAAAAAGAGGATGATAAACCTTGTTTAAGGGCCAAGGTAAATTTATTAAAAACCCTCCACTGTAGAAACCAGCAGGTTCTGCCAAATAATATTTCTGTACTTAAGCTTAAATTTTTCTATAGCTACCGTATGAAATAAGTGTTTCTGTACTTATCAAGTTTACAACTTAGATTTCTGTATTTTAAAGTTATTTTATTTAGTCATTATAAAGTCATCTAGTAGTTGCAGAGGTGACTCTAGGTTCCTCAAAGCCTAAAATATTTACTTTCTGGCCTTTTGCAGAAAAAGTTTCCTAAATTCTGCTCTGGCCTATGGATAGGTATATAAATTTAAAAACTCTTTTTTATAAAGCAGTCATCTTAAAATGCATATATGCTTTGGCCCAACATTTCTACTTCTAGCAATTTGTGTGTAGTTATACTTTAAACAATGGATTAAAATGTGTCTATAAAAGGATATTTGCTATGGCATTATTTATAAAGCAAAAAGTTAGGGTAAAAAAAAAAACTCAGAATTAATCAGTAGGCTCAGTATGGCAGAGGGGAATCCCAAAAAGAAGCTGATCTGCCTTAGAATTCCAAGGGCTGGAGAATAGGAAGTACATGAAAGGGAAATATGGACAAATAGTATACAGGAAATAGGAGAATTTATGTCATTAAAAGAGAAGATTAGGACACAGACACAGAGGGAAGAACATGTGAAGATACAAGGAGAAGATGGCCATCTATAAGAGAAAGAGAGGGGCCTCAGAAAAAATCAGTACTGTTGATATCTTGTTCTCAGACTTCTGGCCTCCAGAAGTCTGAGAAAATAAATTTCTTTGTTTAAGCCACTCAGTCTGTGGTATTGTGTTATGACAGCCCTAGCAATCTAATATATTTGGGTTGGCATTATAATTTTTCCCGTTATAGGTAATGGAACAAATTTTAAAAATTGAGTAACTTTTCACCTAGTAGAGAGTTCAGGGATGAATTAATGTTAAGCAAGAGATAAGATAGTTATGGACAAATTTTTGGCCAGTGAAATTGAAAATGTTGCTGCAATGGACAAATTCCTAGAAAAACAAACTTAATAAAACTAACATAAGTCGAAAATCTGAATAACCCAATTTTTTTTTTTTTTTTTAAATATATCTTTATTGATTTTCAGAGAGAGGAAGGGAGAGGGAGAGAGAGAGATAGAAACATCAATGATGAGAGAGTCATTGATCGGCTGCAGCCCAAAACCCGGGCATGTGCCCTGACCGGGAATCGAACCCTGATCGCCTGGATCCTAGGTTGATGCTCAACCGCTGAGCCACGCCCGGCTGGGCCCAATGTTTATTTAAAAATTGAATCTGTAAATAAAAGTCTTCCCAGTAAAGAAACTTCCAGGATCAGATGGATTTATTGGTTAATTTTTACAAAAATTTAAGGGAGAATAACACCACTTTTTCAGAAAGTAAAAACGTGGAAACATTTTCCTGCTCGTTTTGAGGCTAACATAACTTATCTCCTAACATGCGTTTATTAAGAAAGGAAACACAGGCCAGTGTCACTCGTGAACCATAGATAAAAGAAATGCTAAGCAAATTAGTAGCAAACTGAATCCAGTAATATATAATAAAGGAAATACATCAAGACTGAATTGGTTTTACTCCAGAATTGAGATTAAATTCAGTATTTGAAAAATTAATCACAATAAAGAGGAAATGTAACATTATTTCAATAGACACATTAAAAGCATTTGATTAAATTCAATACTAGTTTTTTGAGCTTTTATTATGGGAAATTTTCTAATGTGAATAATTAGACTAAAGATTGTAGGATAGGTTAATTTACAAAAATCAGTTGTATTCCTATTAACCAGCAATGAATAATTGAGAGTGAAACTAAGATAACAGTTTCACCTACAATAGCATCAAAAAGAATCTAACACTCAGGGATAAAATGTAACAAAAGGAGTGTAAAGCCTTATGTGTCAAGGGTTTTAAAGGAATGAAAATAGATGCCCTGGTGGGTGTTGCTCAGTAGTTAGGGCACCGGCCTGCTCACTGAAGGGTCTCGGGTTCTATTCCCAATCAAGGGCATGTACCTGGGTTGTAGGTTTGATCCCTGGCCCCATTTGGGGCAGATGCAGGAGGCAGCCAATCCATGTGTTTCTCTCTCTCTCTCCCCTCCCTCCCTCCCTCCCTCCCTCTCTCTAAAAATCAATGGGAAAAAATATCGTCAGGTGAGAATGAAAAAAAATTAAAGGAATGAAGATAGGTATACCTGGAAACTGGACTCTGAGGCTATTCTCCTTCATAAAACTGATCTATGAAAATGCTGTTGATTGTGAAATCTGTGACTGAACCCAAAAAGTTGAGCTTTTGGATTACTTTTTGGGTTAAGCAGAATTTAGCTTATACTACCTACTTGTATTTTCTCTGAAAACTACAGCAGGGATTTTGGTTTTAATTTTTTTTCTTGACTTTAAAAAAATTGTCCTTAAGTAAAAAAAGAAAAAAGTATGCCTGAATGGAAGTGTTTATTTTTTCTGTATCTTTTTCCTTTTATCTACAAATGCAATGACATTTTGTTCCCTTTTCTGTTCATTAACTGAAGTATGAATATGCTTTATCTGACTCTGTAAAATGAACTTTTATCATTTATTTGTGTCATAATTTATCATAAATCACTTGTATTTATCATAATTGGTGGTAAATTTCATTCTAACTGAAGTTTGTTTTTTCTCTTGTACCTAGTTGTTGTGGAATTATAAGCTGAACCTAACTACAGATCCCAAATTTGAATCGGTGGCCAGAGAGGTTTGCAAATCTACCATATCGGAGGTAGGTTGTAAAATAATTTTGTGGGTATTTAATAGCATAGAAGAGAAAATTACATCGCTTTACCAGACCAGTCATTAAGGGAGGAATGACTCATTCAGTTACTTTACTTTTCTTGGAATTCACATCTGTATTGGTTGAGAGATAGGCCAAGGGCTGTGTAATTAGACTTCTTTTTGTTAACATTCAACTACACTTACAATAGGATGCTGTTGATTCAGACAAGTTGATAATCAGGCTCTGTTGGTACCCAGAGAATACAACTGCTTCTGTCATCAGTGCTGCTCTCACACTTTTACAGTCTGCTTAAGTCTGAGGCATACCAAAATGGTTTCCCCAGGAGGCTTATAAATATTTCTATGTTTTTTGGCTATACAGTTGAATCAGTTGAACCACAAAGGCATATGCTTCAAATAATAGGAGTTGTTGCTATAAATGGATGTTGAATATAGAGACAAAAATAATTAATGAAAATCTGTAGTATTGTATGGTTGCTAATTGGGGAAAATTTTCAATTTTTTTGGCTTACTGTGAAAAACTAATATTAGTGAAAATTGTTATACAGAAATTTTTATTTTATTTTATTTTATTTTATTTTTTGTAATCAGTGATAGAAATTCCGGGAAGCTAGAGATTTCCATATATTGAAGTATAAGAATCACAAAGCACACAGTTTCTGTTTTTCCACCTCAAAGCTAATAATCAGCCGGGCCAGGCGTGGTTCAGCAGTTGAGCATCGACCTAGGATCCAGGAGATTGCAGTTCAATTCCCGGACAGGGCACATGCCCGGGTTGTGGGCTCGATCAATGACTCTCTCATCATTGATGTTTCTGTCTCTCTCCCTCTCCCTTCCTCTCTCTGAAATCAATAAAGATATATTTTAAAAAAGCTAATAATCATACATCTTGCAACATGTAAATTTGTCCTCACACTACCCTATTAGATGACCTAAGTCAGGACTATTTTCTCCTGAGCCCTTAAGGAAGATACTACTACAACCATAAAGCCCTCAGCTTGTGTTCCTCACAGTCATTATAGGATCTTGTAGAACCTGTTTCTTCTTCAAACCTTCTAATCTTTGATCAGATAGATTTTATTCTTTTATAGCAGTAACCCTTCTACATATTTACTCTCGGGCTTCAGAATAGAATAGCCTATCTTTGAAACAATTATCTTTAGCTTCTAGCTTCAGTATTCTGCTCTTCAAAATCCCTTGGCTAGTGACATGACTAGCTATACATACCAGTTTGATTGCCATGTGGAAATTTAAATTTAGCTCAGAGTATGTGCAGATACATCAGAAGAATTTCACTCTTTGCTTGATATATATCTATATCTATCTACTATCTACCTATCTGTCTGTCTGTCTATCTATCTAGTCATGTATAGTACCAAAGATTTTAAAGGAATAAAGATAGATATGCCTGGAAACTAAACACTGGACTGATACACACACACTCACAGACTTCCTTAAAATGTCTATGTAATGATGGTCTTCTTGTAACTTTTTAAGGTGTTTTCATTCTATAAAAGATTCAGGTAACAAGGGCACTTCTCCTTTCCTGGAGGGAGATTATATCGGAGTCAGGAAAATTAAATATCAGGAAAAACACGGTTGCCAACTAAATATTTTATTCTATATCTCCCTCCTATCTTTCTTAATTTTGGAATCCTACTTCCAAGGAGAAAAGCAGCATCACAAGAATACCTGTAAACTGCAAAGCAAACTTTTTATATACCCACAATGATTGAGCCAAATATTGCCTGCTTTCCTCCTGCCTTCAGTGTCAAAAATAGAGTAGATCTGTTGCCCAGCCACTTCAGAGTTTACTCCCATTCATAAATATGTTGATGATTCAATGCTGTTTTTTGCTGTTAATCTTAGAAATTTTTCTTCTGTCATATTAAACTTTTATTTATCCATTATAATGGTTGAAGAAAAGTAAACTTCTAATCCAAACACTATACATCCTGTTGTAATTGGCGGTGAACTGAAATACAAATAGGTACTATATCTCTGTGTTTCAGTAAAATCTCAAGTGATTAAAAGTAAATACACTTTTAATTTCTCATTGGGGCATCAACTCAAGTTGTGCTCTTGTTCTTTCTTCAGATTTTTAAACTGCTGATTGCCCAGTATTAGAGTCTATCTGAATACTTCTACTTCATTAAAGTTTCAAACCCAGGTGTCTGCCACTAATCCTGTTGTTTTATTTTTTTAAATACATGTTTTTTTTCAGTGGCTGAGATTTTCAAGGAACTATTCCTCCCTTCGCTTTTGAAACTGAACTCTGTTTTACCCAAAAAAAAGGTCCTTTTCCTGGGGATAATATTGATGGCCATCATTTTTTAGGCATCTCAAAAAAAGAGCGTAAGGTTAGGCTAAAAGAATTACATTCATCTTGACTGTTGAAGATCCATGCTGCCTCTTTATTTTTTTAAAATATATTTTTATTGATTTTTAGAGGAAGGGAGAAGGGAGAGAGAGAAACATCAACGAGAGAGAAACATCAACATCGATTGGCTGCCTTCTGTACATCCCCTGCCGGGGATGGAGCCCGTAACCTGGACATGTTACCCTGACAGGGAATCAAACTGGTGACTTCTTGGTACATGGATTGATGCTCAACCGCTGAGCAACACTGGCCAGGCCCATTCTGCCTCTTGAAGCCAGTGTGAGATTGTTTACTTAAATTCTGAAGTTTGTTTCTTTAAAAGTAAACACAATTTTCTGTCTTGAACTGAGCTTTTAACTTGTTCTGGAGTTAGACATAAAGAGACATAGTGGCCTATAGGATAATAAGTGTGTGGTATGTCCTTCACCCAGTACATTGGGGAAAGAAATTATATTTGTTTTGCCCTATGTACATATTTACAATAAGTGATGTAATAGTGGAGAATGGTCTCCATTGGTATAAAAAAAACAATAAAACCAAAAAAATTCCCTTCTCATTTATATTCAAAATAAATCTTTACATTTGGCTCCTTCCTCTTGTCAAAACTGCCATTTTTGTTTGCTTTTATTTCTCTGAATGCAATAATAGGCTTTTTCCAAACAGTCATCTTTGCCTTATAATTTGACCTTGTAACCCTATAAGTAGATTTCACTTTTTTATGCCTTTCTGCATTTTTTGGCTAGTTTGCTTCATTAGCACTTGTGGTTTGTTGTGCACTTTGCAGGAACATGAACCATGTGGAATCACTGTGTGCTTGATCCACTAGATCATATGTCTAAACCACCCAAATAAAACTTGTAATCACCTTCTCCTTCCTAAACTCCTTGCCAAACTCTACTGAACATCATTTTAAACATGATTCTATTCCAGACCTCAGTGGTGAAGCTGAGATTTTACTAAGTTCAAAAACACATGTCCATATTTACAGTTAATTCAGAACACATTAATGTCATGTCAAGAAGTAATATTATGCCTTTTCTCCTTCCACCCCTTTGCCATTAGGTTTACTTAATGATAATAGTTTGCTGTGTAGCTTGGCTTAGGATATGCAACCTGACTTCAGTTCTGCACCTGTTTTTCAGATCTGTTGAGCAGATTAATCTCCTCACTGTCCATTGCATTCTTTGCATGCATAAAGGAATTTCTCAGTAGAACCATTTAGAATGTTAAAAGCTCTTTTTAATTATATCTCAATAAAGCCTAAATTTTTAACAGCTCTTTTTACTCCATTTGGACATGAGTTCTATCTAGCATTTGTTTATATATGTATTTTCTTGCAAAACATGTTAATCAGGTATTTCCTAGAGGACACAACAGTCTGAGTAGGTATGACACACAGTCAACAAGAAAATATCAGAATTCTTTCTTTTATGAAAGCTGTTTGATGTGAGAGTGGAATACTTGTATAAAACAGCCACTTTCTTTTGAGCAGATTAAAGAATGTGCTGATGAACCAGTAGGTAAAGGTTACTTGGTTTCCTGCTTGGTGGATCACCGTGGCAACATCACTGAGTACCAGTGTCACCAATACATCACCAAGATGACGGCCATCATTTTCAGTGATTACCGTCTTATCTGTGGCTTCATGGATGACTGCAAAAATGACATCAACATTCTGAAATGTGGCAGCATTCGGCTTGGAGAAAAGGTATGTACTACACTGGCTTCACCAAAGGGTCTTAGGAACTTGATAAATGAAAAGTTTTGTATAACTAGCATTGAAAAAATTTAGGGCTGGAAGTGGCCTTAAAGTTGAAGTCCAGACAGCTCCAAGGTCTAAGGCTAGTTGACCTGTGAATGCATTTCATCTGTTTGTGTTCCAAAAGTATGGAGTGTTCCATAAGTATGGAGAAGTAGAGGAATTAATATCAGCTAAGAGTAGTGTTATCTTCAAAATATTAAAACGGTTACCTGTAACATTCTTTGGCAAACATTTTATAGTCTTGTGGGAATAGTAGTTGGGTTAGGAAAGACTTGAATTCTCAAAACCTTCTCTGCATATACCTCACCATTGCAATAAAAAAATCACTCAGCACACCAGTACAAATAAAGATATATAAATATTAGAAAATTTTAAGATATGAAAGTACTTCTAGCTTGTCAGAAGAAATGTAACTCTACAAATGTGATATATTCATCTCATAAGAACTAGTTTTAGTAAAGACAGGAAAGAAAATAGCTAGCTAGTTTCTTCTGCCTTTATTATATCTAATCTTATTTTTGTTGTTAATTGTCTGTTGTCTAGAAGGTCACAATGAAAGTTTGACCAGGCTTATTGTGAATTTGTTTGCACAGAAAAAATGAAAGAAAGTCCTGAGAAGTAACAGATGCCAGTGGGAGAGGTAGTCTGGGGCCCGTATATGGCATCAGCTATTAATTGCCACTGTTCATTAATCTGCTATTTAGGAAATATGAAGAAAAATAAAATCCAGTTGTCTCTTTGCTCCTATTTGTTCATTGCACCATGTTTTTTATAGGCTTCTATCACAGAGGAAAAGGGGGCATGGTATTGTATACCAGAACTGCAAACTACATGCACCAGTTCAAATGAAGGCTTTAATGCTGGTTATTGTCTGGCTGTCACCAAATACCCTTTCTTTCATACCAGCACAGGGCTCTGGCCCTTTCATAGGGCACCTCTGAGCCTATCTTGAGAACACTGTGAACTTGGCATACAGCTTTCAGGCAGCTTAAAAAAAAAGCCAATTTTAATAAAGAAGGCAGATTTTTTTTTTCTTCTTCCCCAGCAGATTCTAGAAATGACACAAAAGCACTTAAGTCACCCTGATAATTCAAGAAGCTCCTATGATTTATTTAGGGTACTGGTATCCAGTTCCAACCCTCACTCTTTTTAAAATTTTCACCTGTGTTCCAGACACTTTTCAGGAATCAGTGATGACACTTTTTTATATTTGTAATTAGTGGTCCATGCTATAGTGTGGACTATTACAGTTCACCTCTCTTTGTAGTAGTAGTTCTTTATTGACTGCCAAGATAATCACTAGTTAGCTTCCCACTAGCAATCTGAATTGTCAATATAAAACCTGCTTTCAGTGGTATGTATGAGTTAAGTCTGCAGTGACTGAAATGATTGCAGAAAACAATAGTGCTAGAGCCCAAAGACATGACAGTGAGGGTTGTTCTCAGCTTTGTTAAAATAACAAAAGATGTTTCTGTGGACCATCAACATGCATATTTTGATCATTTTTATCTTTTGTTATACCTACCAGTTATGTGAATTTCTATTCATACCAAGCACCCCGACCAGGAATCGAACCCACAGCCTGGGTATGTGCCCTGACTGGGAATCAAACCTGCACACTTTCAGTATACAGGATGATGCTCCAACCAACTGAGCCACACTGTCCAGGGCTTGCCTACCTTTTTGAGATTAGTGTTATCCTTCTCTGTCCTTAAAGGCAGACGGTGGGGACATAGTATATGGGGAAGAAAAAAACATTACCTGTTGAACTGCTAAAAACTGATCAGGACACTAGTAATAGTTTTAAAACAAACATTTGTCTTACCACAATGGAATTTTTAAAACTCATTGTAAATCCAGTTACAGGATCACTTGTTATTTGTATGTCAAGTCTATGTACTAATAACTTTTTTAAACCAAAGTAAATTTTATTTTATTGTAGATAATGTGCCATGTGCCAAAACCACCTCCCTTGCTTTCATTTATATTCAGTAATTAGTCATACAATTTTCTTTGTCAAATATTTGCCTAATTCAAATGGGCTGAAATAAAAAGCTCAGAGACTCTGGGGAACAGAGAATTCCTGAAATATTGTTATTTGAAGAAATATATCTACCTAAATTTATGATTAATGAAAACATCTAGTGGAAGTCATGTTATGGCCTACATTTGCTATAATTAAAATTAAATCTCAGATTTCTTAGGGGGTTTCAAACCATGATAATTCCACCTTAAACCTAGTAAGAAGCAAATGGAACCATTAAAAAAGATAACAGCCCTAGTTAATCTTACTGGTGGTGCATTTAAAACAGTTATAAACTCCAAGTATACAGGGAAGTAGTTCTACTCATTACTTGGAAATAATTTCTGAACCCTATGATGCCAGGACTAAACCCTGAGTCTAAATCAAGTTTGACTATCATGCTATTATTTTCAGTCTCTCATATGATTAAGACCTAACTGCTAGCAAGCATCTAAGATATGGGCTACTAAAATTTCATATAGGACATTGTTTTATAACATAAAACCATGTTTATAATAATCCCTTGTATCCTGTAAATAATAAATGACTGATATGTTTCTGTCCAAATCTGTGTTATCATAGGTTTGTTTTCCCTTTGGGAAGTGGTAATGGTTAGGCCTTACTTAAGTGGGTCATAGATAATCTTGAATGTCACTCATAAATTAGGAAGAAAAAATAAGCCTTACTCCAGATTTCTGGGGTTTGTGTCCACTTTCTCTCTCGTCACATTTTTGTCTCTTGTCCCTGAGAGTTTTGTCTGTTCAGAATTACTCTCCAAAATTCTTTTCGGTCACCTCAGGTTTGTAAGATAATGAGAGAGGTAAGGCATGAGAATCTACTAGTATACTGTGCTTCCCAATCGTTTCTGGATCAGCAAACCTTTTGAAAATGAAAGCTATGAATTTCCTTGGGAAAAATATACAAAACCCACGTACAAACTTTATGAGTTTCATAGAACCTCAAGGTCTTAGCTAGGCACCTTACATTCTGCAACTCGGATGAGTTGATAAACTCCTCTAAGCCTCTGTTTGCTCATCTGCACAGCAGATACCACTGCTCTTGTCCCCTCTTCACAGGTATATTAAGAGAGAACATGAAAATTTTCATGAAACTACTTGGAAAGTAGTGTGCTATAGAACAAACTATTAGAACAAAATAGAAAAAAACTACATTTCTTTTGCTGAGTCGAAATTTTACTTAAAGTAGATGTTTCCCTTTCTGATTTTAGGAGTCTTTATATTATGTACAGATGATTTTAACTATAACAAGATTTTATGTGTATGTATGTGTAAATAAATGATAGCACTATATTTTCTGCTGCTTGTCTTGCTGTATTAATGGTTATACCTCTCAAGTTATTGAAGCATATCTTGTGAGTATAGAAGATTAGGATTTTGAATAGAAAATATTTAGAGGAAGTTTCTCATATTTTGAATGAATGAATGCTTGTGTTTGCTTTGGGGATGATGCAATGTACAATTAAAGGTAATTGGATGGTTTTAGGAAATCTCTCAAAAGCAGTTTGTATAAACAGCGATAATCTTGTTAAAATGGCATTAAAATATATTCAAAACATCAAAGTGAATATTACACTGCAGGTGGTATGTATATGGGTCTTCATGGGTAGTATAGAATAGAAAGGAAGAAGAGGGTCTCTAATACCTTTTCTCAGTGGATTTTGTGGTTTGTTTTTTTAACCTGACTAAAAGCACTATTGGGAAGTTGGAAAATGCTTGGCCCCTTCAGAGATAAATGAACAGAAGTTTCTGCAATGTTATTTCAATATGGACATCAGCTATGATCAGAGCACTGGGCATGCAATTCTTTTAAATGTTTCTGACATTTCAGACTTTAAAAACTCAGGTTTCTATTTCTAATGCTAACTAAACTATACTTAACCTCCCAGTTGTACTATGCAAGTATGTTCTAACCAAAGAGTATTGAGGACATTTTCTGTAACTTCAGTAGTGTGGTTGGTTCCCACCTGATTTTTCAATAGAATATAAATAAGCTAACTGTATGTTGAGGTGGGTTTTGTTGTGTGTGTTTTTTTAACCAAGTGATGTTTATTTGAAATTCATTGTGGTGAAAGTTTTAAAATATCAGTATACTTACTATTTTAGGATGCACATTCACAAGGTGAGGTGGTGTCATGTTTGGAGAAAGGCTTGGTGAAAGAAGCAGAAGAAAGAGATCCCAAAACTCAAGTCTCTGAACTCTGCAAGAAAGCCATTCTCCGAGTAGCTGAGCTGTCCTCAGATGACTTTCATTTAGACCGGCATTTATATTTTGCTTGCCGAGATGATCGAGAGCGTTTTTGTGAAAATGTAAGTTCAGAAACTGTTCTTCTTTTCTTCCTTTTCTTTTAAAATATTTTTAAATACTCTATTAAAAATTTAAAAAAAACAAACCTCTCACATGTAGGAAAGCTACTAAAAAATAAAGAGTTGGTCTAAGGATAACAGAAAATGATACTGGGCGCTCAGCTTTGATTTAACATCTAGTTAACATTTGGCCTCTGACAATCTCCACACATTTTTTTCTACTTTAACTTCTCCATTTCAGTTCTTGGGAGTCTGTTTTATCTAAAGGAATCCGATTTACCAGGGAATCCCATTCACACCTATTCCATGGCTAAACTTCACAGTATTACATATATTTATATGTTTTTGGCTAAGATGAAAAAAACCACAGGTAGCTAGTTTTTAAAACCAAATCCTTGATTACTACCTACAGACCCTATAGAACAACTTTCTAACACTTTAAATCGAAGAACCTCCATCTTTACAACGAAGAATTGAGCGTGACTTATGTACACTCCCACTCTGCCTGCTGTTTTGATTTAACAGCTTTAACCGTCAAAGCCACTAATTTTGTAAGAGTTTTGTGTTATAAAAAGGGAGACTCACTGATACTTCTCTTGATTCCCTAATTAATGGTATATCTGGGACTGAATGACAATAGTTAGACATTGTGAGAAACAAATTTTTATCTTTACTAGAGGTACTATTTTCTTTCAAAGGCTACTAAATTTTATAAATGGCTGAGCCATTTGTTCAAAGCTACTCACATTATATTAATTTAACAGGAAGTTCTATATAGGATTATGGATAATGCCCAGCATAACCAGTTAGCTAATCATCATCATAATGGGTATGTTTCATCTTACAGACACAAGCTGGTGAAGGCAGAGTATATAAGTGCCTCTTCAACCATAAATTTGAAGAATCCATGAGTGAAAAGGTAAGTATTACTTTAAAGCAAACCAATATTTATCATTTCCTAAATGATTTCTCAGATCATCTCAAATAATATTTTTATAAATAGATACCAGACTAAATGACTGGTAAAACTTACCCTTTTCAGAGGCGAGATACTTGTCTTTTAGTAGGGAACCAAAGCATATTTTGCTTAAGCCAAGAAAATGAAGCTTTATTTGTGATAACTGGACATTGGGAAGCCAATTGGGTATCAGTTTGGGAAGTAAAATTGGAGAATTTTTTTACAGATTTTTTATTGATTATTTTAGAGAGAGAGGAAAGGAGAGGGAGAGGGAAAGAGAGAGAAAAACATTGATGTGAGAGCAAAACATCGCTCAGCTGCCTCAACCCCTACCAAGGATCGAGCCCCCAACCTGGGCATGTGCCCTGACCAGGAATCAAACCGGCAACCTTTCGGTGCGCAGGACGATGCTCAACCAACTGAGCAACACTGGCCAGGGCAGGACTGGAGAATTTTATATCAGAATCACATTGAAGATTGTCCGGCATACTCAGGAAGTTTAGGCTAACCAAACCAGTGTGCTTCATATGTAATTAGCTATTTAATTTTTCACCAGATGTCTCATTAAGCATTCTAATTGCTGTTAGTCCTCTGTTCCTGGATGAATGCAAAAATCTTTTTATTGCATTTAAAAGTAATTATTTTTGCTTTTTTATCCTGTCATTTACTTTCCTAGGCAGCTGAAGAAATGTTTTTCATTTCACTTCCTTTCCTATTGAGTAATTATATTTAAAAAGTATAGAATGGAACTTCCAGAGTACTATGTTAGTTACCGCTTTGATTCTGGTGAAATTTACTTTAGGAATATTGTTAAATAGGAAAAGAGTACTTTGTCAGGTTCGTGTATTAGAATCCACCAAATATGTTTGTGTTTGAGACAACTACTATTGCAGCAACAATCAGCAATTCACTGTAAAATTCTAGGGCTTCCTTCCCATTTACCTCTCCCTCTTGCCACACTAGTTTAGCATGCTTGTGTTCAATTTTAACCAAACTTAAAGAGGCATTTTGGTAACTACTGTAGTTGTTGACATGTACTTGTCCATGAGAGATACATGTGAACAGCTGAACCACCTGAGCAGTCTTACAACTCTCCCCGCATTCTTTACTCAGTGTCGAGAAGCACTAACAACCCGCCAAAAGCTGATTGCCCAAGATTATAAGGTCAGTTATTCATTGGCCAAATCCTGTAAGAGTGACTTAAAAAAGTACCGGTGCAACGTGGAAAACCTTCCTCGGTCCCGAGAAGCCAGGCTCTCCTACCTTCTGATGTGTCTGGAGTCAGCTGTGCACAGAGGTGAGAGTTTATTTTTTTCCCTTTTTATTCCTTTTTGGATTCACATTCTAAAGCTTCGTGCACCGTTACCTTTCCCTGTATTTGCTCTTTTGAGTACAGCTGCCTTGTTACTTAGGAATCTTTCTTTGTGAGCATAACTCTAGGAACTGAAGGGTTGGTATCCCTACACCTTGTTGAAGGCTTTTCCTCTTAGTTCATCAGTCCCAAATTTTGTTTTTCTTTATATCCTGGCTTGCTTTTTTTTCTTTTTCTTTTTTTTTAAACACAGTAGAGTATATTTCTCAAATTCAAGTATTTTAATTTTTAAAAATACCTACAGGGTGGGACAAAAGTAGGTTTACAGTTGTTAGTATGAAAAATAACACCGTAATTAATAAACAAACCCTGGCCAGTGGCTCAGTTGGCTGGGGCGTCATCCCATACACCGAAAGGTTGCCGTTTTGATTCCCAGTCAGGGAACACATCCAGGTTGTGGGTGTCATCCCTCATTGGGGCGGGTATGGGAGGCAACCATTCAATGTTTCTCCCTCACATTGACATTTCTCCCTCTCTCTCCCCTCCCCCCTCTCTAAAATCAGTAAACATTTCCTCAGGTAAGAATTAAAAATAATAACAAAGTAAGTAATGCAAGAATAAATTCTGTTCCACATACTCACAACTGTAAACCTACTTTTGCTCCACTCTGTATTGTACTGCATTTTTAGGAGAGTCAGGGTAGTCTAATGATTTAGCACATGAGCTTTGGGTCAGAGATACATGACTTCAAGTTATGGCTCTATCACCAGACTAACTGGCTGGGTGTCCATTGTTTCTAATTTTTAATCTCTCCAAACCTCATTTTCTTATCTATAAAAAATAATATTACCTATGTTGAGGAGTTCATATGAAGACTGAATGAGGCTGTTTGGCATAGCACCTAGCATACAATAAGTGATAGGTAATGTTATTATTATAATAATGATGATGTTAAGAAATTAATCAGTAGAAGATGAAAGGATTACCCCCAGAAAGTCATACTCATGGGCTGTTTAGCCCAAAAGTCAACCCCTGACAAAGGAACCAAGAAGGATATATAGAAGGCCAGAGTTGTCTTTTTTAATATTGGCTATAGGCTGCAAAAATGAAATTTCTACCTCTTATTGAATAAATGGTGCTGGTCAGTTGGTTAGTGAATAAAAAGTTAAGTGGAAAAAAATCACTCATTAAAGAAAACTCAGAACTTTTCAGTGAATTTTTTTCATGTCTGAATGTTTGAAAGCAGTGGAATAGCAAGCAGAGACAATGCATGGTCTTCGACTGAATGCCAAACAGGACATTTTGGAGGCAACTGGGGAATATTGATTATGGTCTGGGTATTAGGTGAGATTCCCCAAAAATGGAAAGGTGGAGCTTACTGACTAGTAAAAGCATATTATAAAACAGTATGCATAATGTAATCTAATTTTGGTATTGAAAAATAGAGAGTTAATGTCCTTAAGCTGCAAATTGACAAGAAACACAAAAAAGATTCAATAAATGAGTGGCCAAAGGATATGAACAGACAGTTCAGAGAAGTTATACAGATTGCTGAATAAAGACCGATCATATTAAGTGTTGACAAGGTTGTGGGAAAATGAACTATCGTACATTGCTGATGGAAATTTAAAGTGGTACAACCACTTTGGAAAATAGTTTGCCAGTTTTTTTTTTAAAGTTAAGCATATATCTCCCATATGACCCAGCCATGTAACTCCTAGGTATTTGCCCAAGACATATGGAAGCATATGTCCATGTAAACTCTTGTAGATGAATACTAATAATAGCTCTATATGTAATAGCCCCAAACTGGAAATAACCCAAAAGTCCATCAGTAGTGAAGGGATAAACAAATTGTAGGATATCCACATCACGGAATAATAATACTTAGCAATAAAAAGTAATGAACTGTCAATACACGGATGAATCTCAGAATAGTTATGCTGGGTGAAAGAAGTCAAAGAGTCACATACATGATTTTATTTATATAAACTTCCAAAAAATGCAAACTAGTAAACTAGTCTGTAGTCACAGAAAGCAGATCAATGGTGACTGGGGATGGGGTGGGTGGGGTGGAGAGGAAAGGAAGGGAAGCATAAGGAAATTTTGGGAGTTGATGGGTATGTTCAGCATCTTGACTGTGGTGATGGTTTCACCAATGTATATATATGTCAAACATCCAGTTGTATGCTTAAAAGTGTAGTTTATTTTATGTCCATTACACCTCAATAAAGCTGTGTTTTAAAACATTTCCTGAGTGTTCCCATTTGGCATTTACAGCTGAAGGAAGGTGGGAAGCCATAGTGAATATTTGAAGTGTAGTCTTTTCCATAACCTTTAACTGTATAAGCCAGTAGAGATTGTTCTTGGCTTTTGTTGTTATCCAAATAGTTATCTTATTGATAAGACTTTCTTTCATTGGTAAAACATCTTCATTATTAGTTTAGTAGTATAAAATCTGTGTAATGCAGAACCCTGACAAAATAAACCCCATCCTCTGGAGTCTTAAACTCATTTTATGCTGATAAAGCTTTTACTGAATTCTAAACTTTTCAGTCTGGATAATAAAATGACTAGTATATTATATTCTAGGCGAAAATGTGTGCTTTTCATATGGGACGATATTCAGTCCTAATGCTGACCATAATGTTATGACTTAAATCCTAACTTAGGGCGACAAGTGAGCAGTGAGTGCCAGGGGGAGATGTTAGATTACCGACGCATGCTGATGGAAGACTTTTCTTTGAGCCCTGAGATCATCCTGAGCTGTCGGGGCGAGATTGAACACCACTGTTCTGGATTACATCGAAAAGGGCGAACCCTGCATTGTCTGATGAAAGTAGTTCGAGGGGAGAAAGGGAACCTTGGAATGAACTGCCAGCAGGCGGTAAGGAAAATTTTTCTGCTGCCATTTTGAATTCCACATTGTGTCAGCTAAGAAGCCTCTTTCTTACACTGTCCCAACTTTCTCTGGATCATTTGTGACATCACAGTGAATATAGGTACTAAAAGCAGACATGGACTATTGTTTCTTCAGGCATTTTGCTGCATGCAGAGCAGAAGTTTGAGCTTATAATCAATAAAAAGAGCTATATACTTAAAGAGACAGATAAAATACATAGTTTGCTAGAATTTCTTTAAGGTAACTTGCTATATTGGATTTACTAAACTCAGAATCAAGGTAAACCAAGTTCTAGTACATCAGCAAAGGTCCTCCACCAAAAGAGAATTTGTCTGTCTCAGTAGGTTTGATTGAGTTGAGGCTGAAAGAGATCTGAAATGAATTGGAATTTTCTAAGTTTCTTTTTATTGCTGATGTGCAACAAGGTATGAATTCCGGGCCTTGAGGATCAAGAAAGCATGTTGTTTTCAAAAATCATGCTATCTTTTCTTGTTAGACTAAGGCAACTGTATGTGGAAGGGCCTTTCTTTTCTACCTCCAAACTCTACAATCAGTTCTATAAAGATAGTTAGAAAAAATTAGCATACTTGGCTTGAGAAGATAAAGTTATTCTTGTTCAGGGTTATAAACAGTGAGTAACTACAAATCAAGTACATAATATAAAGTTAAGCCCTGGCCGGGTAGTTCAGTTGGTTAATGTGTCATCCCAATATGCCAAGGTTGTGGATTCGATCCCCAGTCAGGGCACATACAAGAATCAACCAATGAATGCATAAATAACTGGAACAACAAATCAGGGGTTCTCTCTCCCTTCCTCTCTCTAAAACTGATAAATAAAATTTTTTAAAATAACAATAAAAAATAAAGTTTATAAATACAATGTCTCTGTTTCTATTTCATTAATATAGAAAGTTGAGCCTCAACTTTCTAATTTAATGAGCTACCCAGCCATTTATATTTTAATAAATTTATCAATCTCTTCCTCAGGGAAACTTTAAAAACACACACAATTCATTAGTCTTTTATTTTGTTGTTGGCATTTTTATTAAAAATCTAATATTACTTGAATTTTATTTTTCTGTTAATCATGTAAAATCACAATTTATAGTCTGAAATGCAAAGTTTCCATAGAATTTTGATATGGAGTAAAATTTCACCGTAACTTCTATTACCCTGACCCAGAGTGAATTGTAATTTAATACATCCCATGGTGGGAGAATGGACAAATGTAGCTTCTTCTCCAAAATACCAAGCCCAGCTAGACAGAAAGCTTCTGGATGTAGTTCTTCAGGAGCAGTTCTTGCTGGTGGTTGTCCTAGGAACCTCTGTGACAGTGTATGTGCCTGGGCTCAGACCAAGAATTCAAACATCCTATATTAGCATTTTATCCTTAATGCAGCATGGAAAGGGGAAGGGGTGGTTAGGAATAAACCTATATTTTCTACTGAAGCTACACTTGTACTAAGGTGTACAGAAAAAAGAAAATAAGTAGTTTTGCCTTTATTTCGAAGCATCTAGCTAACCTCCAGGGCTTTTTGAAATTTAGCTTGTTAAAAGAGCTGACGACTCAACAGCTTGAAAGGTAAATAAGTCCTGCCCACCTCATCCTTTGTGCCCAGAATAAAAGTGCTTTCCAATCTAGAGCTCAAGCCTTAAATAGTGAATTATGTGGTTTTGCCCACGTTAAGTTTAGCCAAGTGGGAAACAAACACTTTATTTGGTTTTTTTGGATTTGTGGTTTTTCAGAATTGAAGGAAAGGGGGGGGAAATTTCTTAGTCTTCTACTACATTATCCATCCTCAGCCAAATGGAGGAATGTTTTGAAATAATTTATTTGAGTGGATTTCTTTCTTTTTCAAAGTTTCCTTCCCTGATACAGTAGACTTTCATACCTGTCTGTGGTTGACCATTAATTTTCCCTATTCTTTGCTTGGCTGTGCTTCGATTTAGCAAATAGTAAACTGTGAAGCATAAAAGCTAATGTTATCTTAATGAGAACATACGTTTCCAAATGCACCATAATCATGAACTTATTAAATTCTCTTCAGTTATGGTCGAATGAGTGTGGGCCCAGCCTCAGGCCAAAGATGAATGTCCAGTCTATTCTCTAGACTAATCATTTCCTAGAAGCATTTCCCCAGGTTTTTCCTAAGCAGTCAGGTGCTTGAGTAGATGTATAATCATGTTGCAGTTTACATTCTTAGCGTTTGTTTCCCACAGTGTTGTCACTGGATTCCAGAGTGGCAATGATCCCTTGAGTCCTTAGCCTACTAGAGTCTGTAGGGCATTCATTGCCTCCTTTTAGTAGCCACAGTCTGGTGCATTCATCATGAATTCTCCAAGTTTGTCTGTCAGTCATCAATCATGGATATTTAACTAATAGTTTTTATAGAGACTTACAGACTCCCATGATGCCTATAGTTTCCCTCAGAAAAAGATATAAATATTTTGGCCTTTTTCAACAAATGTCATTACTAAAATCTATAATCCTTTGACAGTAATTTTCCTACTAGCCACAGCATTTTGTAGCTTCTCCAAATTGCCACCAAGATTTCCAGAATACTGGAAATTTTTCCTATTTCTCTCATCTTGATTATTGACTTCTTTTAGAATAGACAGAATTGGGGTTTTCTTTCTTCATTTCCTTTTGATCTGTATTCTGATCAATATGTGATGGGGCCAGTATTTTCGTATGAGCCCCTGTGGGATTGTAGGTCAAATGTATGAGGATCAGAGAAGGCTCTTGAAGAGAAAGGCTAAACCTGTGACAAAAAAGGGCTCCAAGTCTTTAACTTGGAAAAAAGGAACCCAAACTAGGATTATAGTTTTCAGATTTGCTCTCTGTTATTTAAGATTCTCACCCCAAAACACCATCTGTTACCCATCTGTTGTAATAATGATCTTTCATATCTGTCAAATGCTTGCAGTTTATACAGCCTCTGTATATTCCTTTTTTAAAATAAAAAAAAATCTTTATTGATTTCAGAGAGAGGAGAGGGAGAGAGAGAGATAGAAGCATCAATGATGAGAGAGTCATTGATGGGCTGCCTCCTGCACCCCCCCAACTGGGGATAGAGCCCACAACCCGAGCATGTGCCCTGACTGGGAATCGAGCCCCAATTGCCTGGATCCTAGGTCGATGCTCAACCCGCTGAGCTTCGCCCGGCTGGGCTGTATATTCTTATAATCCTCTGCAGTTAGAGAAACTGAAACTTAGAGGTTAATCAACTTGCCCATGTTCTCAAAGCTAATATCTGGCAGAGCCAGAGCTATTAATAGAACTCAGGTCTTCTGATCCTAAATTTAGAACTGTTTCCTCTGTGCCCCAACTGCTTTCTCCTCAAAGACAGGAAAAAAGAATCCAAGGCACATCTCATACTTTCTCTTTATTTCATAATAAAGCATAGACCAAGCAGAAGTAGATGTTAAAGACTATATTCTCATTTTCAACTGCATAATGACAAATATTCTTCTTTGTACTTATAATGAACGAGGCCTGGTTTTCCTCTTGGTTATATAAAAGATTGTTGAGGGAAAATAGGAAATTATAAGTGTTATATTCTTATTTTTTGTAATTGATATTTTTGCAAGCTAAATGAAATCTCACATCTATCTTTAATAAAGCAGAGTACACTTGTAATGCCAGTGTCTTTGCAGCAAAATTTAAATTTTAGATTCTTTTGACCAAATTAGGTCCCTAACTGGAAATCACTTCTATTTACTCTTCTCCGCTCAATTCTTGCTTGGCTCTGAGTGTCAGATTTAGTAATCTGGTTAATATATAGGCAGTTATGAGGGAAAAGGCAGCCTTTATATTGTAAAGACCTTTTGTTTTGCAAATGTCCAGGGATGATTCAAACTGGTAGGCAAGTAATCCCCACAGGGGCTTGAACAGAAAAACTCTCGATCAAGGTAGAGAAACCAGTTGGAAAGTATTTCGCAAGAGCTCTTGAACTTGGCTAGTGACACTTGTAGTACCTTGTGATATACCACACTTAGTAACTGATTGTATGAAGAGATGACAGTGCTCTTCCCTGATGTGCAAGTGACTTTATTTCTTCCTTCCTTTTTTTTTTTTTTAAATCCAGCTTCAAACACTGATTCAGGAGACTGACCCTGGTGCCGATTACCGCATTGATAGAGCTTTGAATGAAGCTTGTGAATCTGTAATACAGACTGCCTGCAAACACATAAGATCGGGAGACCCAATGTAGGTTATCTTGTTTGTGGTATTTATCCATATTGTATTTTACTTGGCAGTGTAGCACAGGGAACATTCAGCATCATAACTGAGATTTTGTTAAACAGCAAAACATACCAACTTTTGTTGAAACTAGTATGGGAATTGAGAGTTCACCTCTGCCTCATCTGTCATGTGGAGACACCTAGACCCAGCGTTGTGATGATATTTGTTGACAGTGACTGAGCATAGGTGGGCCTGTACATTAGGTCACAGAATAATTCCATTGTAATGGTCAAATAAAAAGGAGAGAAAGGAGCTCTCAGGAGAAAGTAACACATGCTTGACTCTACTTTTCATCCTGTTTTGTATATTGACTCAATATATATTGGCTACTTGGTGATCATCAGAGAGTAATTAATTTTCATTGAAATATAGAACAGTGTGTTGATTGGAAGCGGGAATCATGGTCAAAAGGAACTCTGAAGTTTTATCCGAGATCTAGGAAAGCTGTAAAATTCTATAATGAAGTATTTGAATTGCATGCATTAGTTTTATTCCATGTGATATGCAAACAGCTCTTAAAACCAGGTTGCAAGTAAGAACAGGTTTCCCATTCTGCAAAAATCTTTATAGCCTACAGTTGACAGTACCAACAGTAAAATGAATGTAGTCCATGTTTATCATCATCCTGCTATTCATGCTGTGATCGGGGATTAAAAAAAACGTATTCTTCCATAAAGCTTTTTGTGTGGTTGGAGAAGATAGACAAACATACTTAAGACTAATTAAGCATATTTACCAATATAAAAATAACTGCATCAACTCTAAAGGGGGTGAGGGAGAGGGAGGAAGGAGGAAACTGCTACAGATTAAAATGGATTTAAGATACTACCAGTTAAATATAATATGTGGACCTGTTCCAGGTCCTGATTTGAATAAACATGTAAAAAGGCATGAAATAATTGGAAAATTTTGAAAACTGACAGGATTTTGAATGATATTATGGATTTTTTAAATTAATTTCTTTTGGTAGCTAATGATATTATGATCTCATATTATAGAGAAACGTGCTGAAGTACTTACAACAAAATGATATGGTATCTGGGGTTTGCTTCAAAATACTAGCAATGAGGGACAGCATTAAAACAACCTGGGCCATAGGTAGATAAAGCTGTGGGAAGGAAAGGTAGATGTTATATGATTCTCCACTTTTGTGAGTGTTGGAAAATGTTCATAGTAAAAAGTTAAAAACAAAGCAGCTGCACACAGATCTTATGCAAACTTATTCCTAAGTGCTGAGTGGCTCTGAAGCTGATAGAAGGCTTAATTTAATCACTGTCAGGGTGAATAAGTACCTGATTGCCCTAGGAAAATAACAGAATGGCTTTTTCTACAGACCAAGGAAATACTGATTGGAAGTTCTGGATGTGTTGTCAGAACTCTTCTATCTCTTGTTACAATTTCACCCCTGTTTTATGCCCAGGATCCTCTCATGCCTGATGGAACATTTATACACAGAGAAAATGGTAGAAGACTGTGAACACCGTCTGTTAGAGCTGCAGTATTTCATCTCCCGGGACTGGAAGTGAGTATTTTGAAAACAGAGTAAGTATAAGCCTCGGCCTGTTCTCCTGTGTAGTCAGTATCCCTTGCTTTTTTTTTTTTTTTTTTAATAATCAATAGGAATTTGTTTTTGTTAATTTCTGGAATAGCTGACAACTTTAATCCTCTGAAAAACCACTTTCTTACTTTCAGAACAATATCTAAAAGCAGAGGCAGCCCTGCAGGTCTGTCCCCAAGAATCCCCATTCACTGCTACTTTGGAAGGATCAAAAATTTCTGATACCACAAATATCTGTCTAGAAAGAACTTGGCACCTTTGGGGCAGAAGAAGTGTCTTCAGATATATCTCTAAGTAGACAATAGTACATTTTTATTTTTATCGATTTGCACCAAGTTTGGGAATTTGCTTTTATTTCTTTAACTATTCAAAGTTATTGAATTTATTCTGTCTGAAGAAGCTCTTATCAATAAGTAACAACTTGATTCTCTTCTCATCCTGTTAGCCAGAAAATAGGGGAAGGAGATGGGGTAGCAGAAGGATCTATTACTGTCAGAATCACTGTAATTTATTGGCTGCAATTCCCTCCTCTTTCCAGGTCTTATTTTCCCTTCCCACCTCCAAAGCAGTCAGTAGGATCAGGCTGCTCGTCCTGCTTCCCAAGTTCAGCTCCTTCCTGATTCAGTTGTTTAAGCCATTGTACTTTGGTCATTAACTTTTTCTGGTGATTAATATGTTTTACCCACATACTTTACTATAAAGATTGCTTAAAGATTCTGTGTATTTCTGTTTCTGTTTCTGCTCTGGAAAAGACTACAGAAAGCTGGGGGGGAATTTTCCCGTGCTTACTCAGGCCATCTAAACTAAAGTAACAGAGTTTACTGAGTTTACTACTTTAACAAAATCATGTTTTTCCCTCTTCTGTAATTCCTTCAGCCACGATCAAAAAATGCTTCATAGGCTTAAAAGCTACTCATTAAATATTATTAGCCTTTCTCCTTCCATTAAGTAGCCCTCCCCCAAAATTGACCTTATAATATGGACAGAATTAAGCATCCATTGGTCTAGTTCGGAGAAGTAGCACTGTCTCCAGAGTCAAAGTTAAATGTCAAGTTTTTGAAATTGATGAGCATATTCAGGTAAACTAAAATTATAATGGCCTTACTTTGCATGGGAAAAAGAAGAGGAACAGTTTCACTGGAAAGGAAGTCGAATGATTCTCTTTATCTTGCCATTTCCTGATCTTACTGAATCTAGTATATCAAGTAGGATTGAACTTCATTTATACTTAGAAAAAATCATTGAGTAAAAAGTTGTGAATTGCCTGCTGATAGCTACAACCCTTATTTTCTCATTTCAACCAGGGTATGTTAGTGCTGAGTCTGTTATTGAAATGTGTGCCTTACATAGCCAAGATAACCACTTTGAGGCAGAACTTCTATCTTCTGTACTAAGGTTAACAAACTTCTGCAGATTGACCACTGTGTGTTCATGAAGAACAAATTTTAGAACATGCTTTTGCTTACCTGTTGTCTCCATTACGCTGGAGGGGATTATTATAATAATTTTTTTTAATCCTCACTCGAGGATATGTTTTTATTAATTTTAGAGAGAGAGGAAGGGGAAGAGAGAAAGAAACATCAATCGGTTGCCTCTCATACACACTCTGACTGGGGATTGAACCCGCAACCTAGGTATTTTGCCCTGATGAGAATCGAGCCCAAAACCTTTTGGTGTCAGGGAAGACCCTCCAACCGAGCCACCTGGCCAGGCTGGAGGTGACTATTAATGAATATACAAGCACATTGTAAAAACCCTTAGCAGGTGTTGGAAGGAAGGGTATATAGTAAGGGTGTTTATCTTTTAACTTTATAGGCTGGACCCTGTCTTATACCGCAAGTGCCAGGGAGATGCTTCTCGTCTTTGCCACACCCACGGTTGGAATGAAACCAGCGAACTTATGCCTCCTGGAGCTGTGTTCTCTTGCTTGTATAGACATGCCTACCGTACTGAGGAACAAGGAAGGAGGGTACGCGTCACTATTGACTCATTTCTTCTCATCGTCATTTGTTTTTTTAATTAGTTTGCTGCATATTGTTCTGGTTTCTGCCATCCTAGGAAAACTTTGTTAGTGTATCTGGTGGGGAGGGGTTGCTGCACTACTAGAAAACGTTTTCATTCAGTGAGTGTACATAGAGTGTTCTACCAACTTCTTTCCGCCTGATTTTACATTTTTAACAAAGTGAGTCAGAACATTTCCAGTTTTTTCTTTAAATTACCGAAATCTAAATCACAAATAGACATTTAAGTTCTGCTGCCCTAATGTTATTTAGCTTTAAAGATCCATTAGCTCTTAGCCAAGATACAAATGGTTTTTAGTCTTCTGCTCTTGGCATCAGAACACATAATGCTTATATTAATAGGCCTCTCTCACAGCACACTGGTTGGAGCAGAAACCTCCATACCCCAGTCTCTTGGTATTTGTCTGCCCTAATTGCTATCTCTTATTGGGATATTTGTGTGTGTTTGGCTCTCGGGCAATGTTTACTGCCTTCTGGTGCCACACTGACATGCTGCTTGCTCTCCCAGATGGTCTTTTGAAGCCTTTGAGATACTCTATTGCATTTTAGTCCTGCATTTGTTACAGAAAATAGAGAAGGTATTATTTCACATACATGTTACCAAATACCCCTTCTGAGCTTAATTCAAAAGTCTGACTAAGTTTAGTATTCAGAATGAAGAGACCTAGATAGAAGGAAATGTTATACTTCAGTTACTGTAGTCTTAACTCAGTTTTTATACTGCTATGTAAGGAAATAAGGGAATTCGTTGTTTCCTTTTTCTTACGATGAACCTATCATTAATCACAGGACCTAGCACCTTGGTAGTGACTATAGTAGGAGGTAGAAGAAAGGGTTGAAAGCTGTCTTTTTTAAAAATACATTTCTTTTAAAAATTGAGTTGAAATTCATATAACAAAATGAACCATTTTAAAGAGAAAAAATTTAGTGGTATTTAGTATATTGACAAAGTTGTGCAACCACCACATCTGTCTACTTCCAAAATATTTCCATGTCTCCAAAAAGAAACCCCATGCCCATTAAGCAGTTACTCTCCAACTCCCCCCCGCACACACACACACACCCCGAGTGCATGGGCCCTTTTAGGAAGAGAGACTATCTGTACCTGTCAATGACAGCTTTCTCACAACCCTTCCAAAAATACTAGTTTTCATCTGTTTCACCCTCTGCTAATTCTCTTCAACTCATCTAGAAGAGTCTGGTCCTGACCTGTGGTAACTTGCTGTTGGCTGCTTGTTCTGAGTTTAGGTAAATTTGAACTCAGTTCTCCTGACACATGTGTATTCTTTCCTGAATTAGACCTAGCATTCTACTCTACATTCTTGGAGTAATAAGTTAATTATGCTAAATTAAAACTCTAATCTAATCTGAACAAATTCAGTTAACTTTTTATCAGGATACTCTGAAAAAAAGAAGTTTCATATAATATATTTGAATAGGCCAAATGTATAATCTCATTCCAAGAGAGGGATGTTTTTAGAAGCCTCCTAGAACATTTAATTCTTATTCTGGAAGATATTCAAGGTATAAAGTTATTTGGTAGTTTCCTGACATTATCAAGTGTCTTTTGGTTTTGGTTTTGGCACCTTTAGAGTGCTTTGCTTGTTCTTATGTAGCTCTCACGGGAGTGCCGAGCTGAAGTTCAAAGGATCCTACACCAGCGTGCCATGGACGTTAAGCTGGATCCTGCACTCCAGGATAAGTGCCTAATTGATCTGGGCAAATGGTGCAGTGAAAAAACAGAGACCGGACAGGTAGGTGACATAGTTACCTGTTTATCTTATTGTCATAATAATATTCATGATTAACATTTTATGTAGAATACAAACCCCATAAAGTCCATTTCTGTTTACTTCACAGACATGATTTGTGATATTATTTGATGGTCTCTCTATAAGAAATCCTCAGGAAAATTTTCTGTTTGGTCTCTATAATCAGGAATAATTGTACTTTTCCTAAGCAGTTAGTTTGTTTTTGTTTTGAAGTGAACAATTTTATTTATTTTTTATTATTTTTTTTAAAATATGTCTTTATTGATTTCCGAGAGAGGAAGAGAGGGAGAAAGAGAGAAATGTCAGTGATGAGAGAGTCATTGATCAACTGCCTCCTGCATGCTCCCTCCTGGGGATTAAGCCCGCAACCCCGGCATGTGCCCTGACTGGGAATCAAACCGTGATCTCCTGGATCATAGGTCAATGCTCAACCACTGAGCCATGCCAGCCTGACCAGTTAGTTTGTTTTTATATTATTTTGTAATTGATTGTTTTCCCTCTTTGTGTTGCCTCTTAAAAAGCCTAGAGTCAAAGAAAGGTATGGCCTGCCTCTAGCAAGTATATATAAGGTGTTTTATGTACTAACTTATTACTTGCTCCATTCCACTTTTCTTAACATAATTTCCATTTCTTTCCTCTTTCTTACTTATTTTTTATTTATTTTATCTTGCCTTTTTTTTCTTTTCTCACTTTTATAAGCCACATTAAGCCTTTTGGAGAGAAGGCAGAATATACATATGTACATATACATGTAATACTTGTATGCATGAATTAGTGTGGGTGCCCTTCAACAGTCCTACAGGAATGTAAGAATGGACTTTTTCTATCTAGTAATTGATGAAATTGAGGCTCAGAGAAGTGAAGTGTGTTGACTTCCTTACCTAAAACTCAGGTCTAATCCTATCCAGGCATTTGTTCCATTATATTATAACCACCTTCCATACAGATAAGTATAGAGAAGGAGCAGCCCCCAAGAATTACATGCATGCAATGAATGATACCAGAACAAGGCGTGAATACAGGTTTCCAGGTTCCCTTTTTACCACTCCAAAACACTCTCTGGGATTAAACTACTACAAAGTCACATGTGCAGGAATTGGACATTTTTAAGAAGCAATGGCTGCCTACACAGATCTGTTGAGCCTGGGAATACAATTTTTAGCAATCTACTTCCTGGCCCTCCTACAGCTCTGTCAAGTTTATTGTTAGAAAATGCCTATTGTTTTGCTTTCTGCTGCCTCTGTCTAATGAAACAAGGGATCTTGTCATACAGAACCCCAGGAAACAGTTCCTTTTATACTCCTTGTAAAGTAACATTGAGAAAGCTGCATTTTGTTGCAGCACATCCCTGTGAAGCTAAACTTCGGACAGGATTCCATGAATGGAATTTTTCCCTTAGCCATTTATTTTACTCCCAAAAGTATTACTCATTTTCCTTTGAGGGTTGTGTAATTCCTGTAGCCTTTCTCCTCCCTTCCCATTCTAATTTCAGAACAGAGAGGTTCTTGCAGAATAGTTAAGTTAGTAAGTTAAACTTGGTCCTTTAACAAAGTCCTTTGCTGAGAAATAGTTGTTGATGTGTTTTGGGGAAATGAGCTGATGTTGTACTTAAAAACCTCGAAATTTCTAAGAGAACTAGTAATTGATGCTACAAGGTAGCTCCAGCTTAGTGTCAAAACCCAGACAAGATAGCTTTTAGATACCGAAACCCTAGTATGCTCACTTGTTTTGCAGTTTTCCTCAGAGGGTCATTTTATGTGGGCTTAGGTTAGAATCCCAGATTTGATTTGCAGGAACTTTCAGCTCTATGTTGTGTTTAAGAACCTGAGTCCCAGTGTACTTTGCCCATAAAAGAGTTTTAAATATTTCATGTCTTTCACTGAATTTGTTGTCCAATGATCATTATCAAAACACAGGAAAAAAAGGAATGGCAGGGTGTTGATGGAATGGAATAAAGGCCTGGTAAGATTTTTAGACTCCGAGGACACCTGAACATCGATTCTCATCAGACTTCTCAGTTTGGCTTTCTAGAGGATTTACATGGCTTAACCCTGCTAACCACCCTATTACATCAAGTAATTATCTTTCTAACCATCCCAGTTTGGGAAATAAATAAAACTTGTGTTGTGTTCAGTGAAGTAGTTTTAAAAAGAGAAGAAAAGGAGAACCACTGAAAAGGAAGTAGACGCTGATATCTCAGCTTCCCTGGGTCATTTGTGTAATTGACAAACCCCAAGGGATTGCCTTTTTGTTTGCAGGAGCTTGAGTGCCTTCAGGATCATCTTGATGACTTGGCTGTAGAGTGCAGAGATATAGTCGGCAACCTCACCGAGTTAGAATCTGAGGTAAGCAGTTTGCAGTTCACAGAAGGAGAGTGCCCTGTCAGCAGCCTTTCCTTTATTCTTGGTCCTGTTTCTAGATGCTCTGGAAAACAAAAGAAACCATCAGATTCTGTTTGCTTTATAAAGAATATTGTGATGCTTTCTGAACCCTTTTATCATTTTTCCAGAAAAACACTTTTATCATTTTGCACTTTGGTTTACTTCATAAATTAGATTTATCACAGTGATTAAACCAATCTTTTTTTCCCCCTTTAAGAAAAGATAGCAGCTATACTTTAAATCTCTTAACCACATTCAAGAAGAGTCTAAGCATTTCTGTTATCTTCAGCTTTTTCAGTTAGGTCATTTGGTAATATTTGCGTGTTTAATAAAATAAAAGCCTGGGACTTAGTTAAACATGGAAGATTGAATACACGTGTTTATCCTTGTTCCATCCTGAAACCCACTAAAATATAAAAAGTAAAATTAAAAACTTCATAAGCATAGGCATATTATTTAAAATACAGAGATTATTATTGGGGAGGGGGCAGCTAAAAATGTTTATATTGTCTTGTGGGGCAGAAATCAGGGAAACAGGAAATTGTTTTTTGTTTGTTTTTTAATCATAAACCTTTTAGAACTATTTGAATTGTCAAAATTAGCAATACATAAAATTACACTCTCCATTAGTTTTTTTTTTTTTTTTTTTTTTTTTTTTTACTTTCCAGTTTTTAAAAGTTTATTGCCTTCTTTCATCTTCTGTCATCTCCTCTCCCATTCACATGGTCCATATGGGCTTATGAGGATAGTGATGTGGTTTAGGAGTTCATAAACTAAAGAAAGATGTCAGTTACCCCTGTTTTCATTTTGAACTGTTTAGCTTTTTGGTAAAACTTGAAAGGCTTTATATACTCCAGTATTATTATTATTAAATATTTTTTCCTCTCTTCTTTTTTTAAAAAAATCTTCACATAAGGACATGCTTATTGATTTTAGAGAGAAAAGAAGGGAGGGGGAAAGAGAGAGACATCAGTGTGAGAGAGAAACATCAATTAGTTGCCTTCCATACAAGCCCCAACTGGGAATTGAACCCCCAACCTAGGTAGGTGTCCTGACCGGGAAGCAAACACAACCTGGGTATGTGCCCTGACCAGCAATTGAACCAGTGACTTTTCAGGGCATGGGACGACCCTCAACTGCCGGAGCCTGCCGGCAGTCGAACGGGAACCTGATTGAGGGGGTGAGGATTGGAAAAGAAAGACAAGAGACAGGATGGGATCGGGAGGGCTGCAGCTCATTCCTGTTGCCAGCTGCCAGCCCCGAGTTTATTTTCTCCACTCAATATATACAGGCACTGTTGATTGTGCTGAATAGCACCCCGCCCCACATTTCTTCCCTTAGCCCAATACTAAGTAATTACTCCAAGGTCCTACGAATGCCTTTTCAGAGTAAACACCCTGCCTCCTGCAGGAGCTCAGGCCTTGGAAAGTATCCTTATCTCGGCTTCTAATGGGAACTTTTGGGGAGGATAGAGTCCTTGGCTTGGTATGTGGCTTAACTATCCTTTAACCCTTCAGGCCGGGGCCAGCTTCCTAATTAGCCTTTCTAGAATCTAGTGTTGCTTTGGTGCCTCAAGGACTGGGTCAGGGAGCAGGAGGGCACCTCTGCAGCTCACCCAGGCAGCTCCTCTGTGCCTGGGGCCACTAACTCATCCACATCTCCCTGGGGAAGCATTTTCCACTGATACCGTTGCATGGGTCTCTGCAAATTGATAGCTGGGACACTGAATGCAAACCGTTCCCTGTCCCTCGGATGGAGGGGGAGCGGGGGGAGCAGGGCGAGTGCTAGCACCGCTGCCCACCACTCGGGTCAATGCCTCAGAGATTTCTCTCTTGATGGCACTAGGGCAAGCGGGCCTCCCGGGTCTTTCTCCCTGGGCAGCACCTCGCCCGGCGGGTCCTCCCGGGGGGAGTCCCGCCGGCTCCCCACACTCAACCAACTGAGCCACACCAGCCAGGGCTTCTTTCTTGTGTTTTTTTTTTAAATGTACTTTTATCGATTTCAGAGAGAGGAAGGGGAGGAAAAGAGAAATAGAAACATCAATGATGAGAAAGAATCATTGATAGACTGCCTCCTGCATGCCCCCTACTGGGGATTGAGCCCACAACTCGGGCATGTGCCCTGACTAGGAATGGAACTGTGACCTCTTGGTTCATAGGTCAGTGCTCAACCACTGAGCCACACCCGCCAGGGCTCCTCTTAATTCTGCATCTCCTTCTAGAAAACTTGCCTTTCAAAGTATAATGGAGGTGCAGATAGCCCCATCTATGCTGATGGGGCTATCTAACTTAAAGACTAGAATAGACTACAAATGTGCATAACAGACTATTTGCCCATCAGATGCTATAGAGTCAGAGAAAGAAACTGCTCCTCTTCCCACCCTTGGTTCTTTCTAAGGCAGAATTAATATATTTAATCTTCTACAGGATATTCAGATAGAAGCCTTGCTGATGAGAGCCTGCGAGCCCATAATTCAGAACTTTTGTCACGTAAGTGATGTGTGGAGAAACAAGGATTAGAAACAGAACTGAATTTACTAGGACTCTGGCCCCCAAGTGTGTTGGATCATCTCTGTCTTCAGCATGTTACTCCTTTGTGGCCAACTTTGAGAAGTTGAAGATGTAAACAAAAGCAAGAGGGGATGACACCATCCCGGGAAACCTATTTGATTATCCTTTGTAGGTTCCCAGATATGTGCTTAGCAGCAGTTGCTGAGATGCCCTTTATAAGAAAAGAAGAACTGGAGAAGCCCCCATGAGCATGACTGAGTTGCTTCCAGTACATCCGCTCAGGATTCGTTCACAGTAACAGTGGCTTCCCCTTCCAGCTGTCTTCTTGTACCTGGATATTGAGCAAACTTTATTACTTTATTCACTTATTGAATTACCTAAATTGTGAGAGCAAAACACACTCAGGAACCATGAGGATCTGACAACCAGGAAGCAAAGGAGTAAAAGCACAGCGTAGTACATGTTCTTGTTGGAGCTTCATGCAGGGCAGCTTGCTGTGTAAATTTTATTCCCCAGATGTTTGTCCCTTGTAATTTCTGAGGCTTATTTTGACATAATTTAATACATACCTTGTTTGCAAAGGCTCTAGAATCAGCCTTGTTTGCATTTTTCATAGCCTGGGATACAAGGTTTGTTTATTAGGTATTACAGATGTAGTATAAATGTGCACTGCCTTTTGCAGGATGTGGCAGATAACCAGATAGACTCTGGGGACCTGATGGAGTGTCTGATACAAAACAAGCACCAGAAGGACATGAATGAGAAGTGCGCCATTGGAGTCACCCACTTTCAGCTGGTCAGTAACACCTGGCAGAGCCTCCTTTTCTAGACTGCTCGGATGGTTACTGAATGCCTTCCTCTTTTAGAACATCAGAGCACCTCCTGTGAAAAATTGTTTTTTGTTCTCATTAAATGTGGTTTTTATTTGCTATGGCCAGACACTTTGTTAGGCTCCTCGAAGTTCAGTGATAAATACATAGTTCATACCCTTAGGGAGCATGCAGTCCATTGGGAATAGAGACAAGTAAACAGGCATTTCCTGCTTTAGTCACATCGCTTGCTTTCCTGAGGGGTTGTGTGTTTTTTTGTGGGTGTGTGTGTGTGTGTGTGTGTGTGTGTTTAAATCATACCTTTATTGATTTCAGAGAGGAAAGGAAGGGGAGAGAGAGATATAGAAACATCAATGATGAGAGAGTCATTGATCAGCTACCTAGCCCGCAACCCGGGCATGTGCCCTGACCGGGAATCAAACCCCGACCTCCTAGATCCTAGGTCAATGCTCAACTGCTGAGCCACACCCAGCCAGGCCTAAGGTATTTTAGCCTTTCCTTTAACAGTATCAGTGAGATCTGCTGTTTTGGCTGAGTGTTCATTTCAGTGGCCATTATGTATCAATACACTGGATTCAGCCTTTTATTTCTTTTCTTAATCATAATGCTCAGGCCTGTCATAATGAGAAGGCTAAACCCACTCTTCGTTGTTACCATGTGTCTGAGGAGGTGCCTCTGGTAAAGCAAGCAGTTCCTCGCCTGAGGACAAAATCCAGGTGTCTGTAAAACTGCCCTCTTCCGAGCATTAGCTTTAAACAACCAGATTGAAGGCCTTCGGGAGTGTGCACCCGGGGCAGTGATGGAGCACACAAGCCCTGCCCTTGTCGCCTATATTTTAGTAAGAAAAAGACACAAAACATGTTTACAAGTAATACAGCCTCAGGTGAGCCTCTGAAGAAAAGTAACGCAGCGTAAGGGGTGGAGGGCGAAAGAGACGGGACTTCAGAAGGAGGTACTTAAATAGAAATGCCAAGGAAGTGGCAGAGAAAACCGTGGGAAAATCTGGGAATAGAGACAAGTAAAGGAGAAGGGTTCTTTTGGCCAAGGGAACAGCATTTGTGTGACTGGAATGGCAGGGAACTGGTGTGGTCATAGCAGAGGGAGGAATGGGGAGGTTGGCAGTTCATGAAGCCTGTGGGAGACTGGGGCAAGTCATTCAGAGCCCAGAAAGCTGACTTAGGACTTGCCACAGAGCTGCTGATTTTCTTTCTCATCGTTGTTTTTAGGTGCAGATGAAGGATTTTAGGTTCTCTTACAAGTTTAAAATGGCCTGCAAAGAGGACGTGCTGAAACTTTGCCCCAACATAAAGAAGAAGTATGTACCTTTTAATTGATTCATTCTGCTTCTCTAAAACCCCTCTTAGCTACTGAATGAATACCCAAGGTGTCAGGCGGCCTCCTGCTGTCTGGTAGCCCAGGAGGAGGCCTCCTTGCGCACTCCTTTGGAAGTGTGGCCAAATACCACATTATCTGGACATCATCTTTATAGCTGCTGAGAACCATGACCGGTGGTGGTAGTTCTGATGTGGAAAGCCTATAGGCTAAAGAAGCATTTTCAGTTTTTCCAGTTCAGGCTATGCAACTGGTAGAGCTGATAAGATTGTGTACTTAGAGGAACAAGTTACAGTGTGACTACAGGATGTTAGCTGACTTCCTCCTGACGTAACTCCATTATGTCATCTCTTCGGGGAAGGAGCAGAGGCTTTTACTGGGTTAGAGATCTAGTGAAGAAACAAAAACTTCATTCATCTTAGTGAGGAGTGTAAGGAGTTTGTACAGCATGGCTACCCAAATCCTTCTGTGTTAACTCTTTGCAAAGGCATGTTTCTAGAACATATTTCCTCGCGTATAAACCAAGTTCCTATTTTGCTCAGGTTTCCATACTTTTCAGGAATGGGTTTCACAGTACATCAAAGTCACAGTCCAGAGTTAAGAGCAGCATTCCTCTCTGGTCACACGTTTTTAACAAAACAAGTGTGGAACTGTCCTTGCACACACGTTCCCTCTCTGGCCTCCCTGCCAGTCAGGAATATAGTCAGCATTTGTGCTGTGGCCCAACTTTTATGACCTATACAGTCAAATTGCTGCTTGTAGAGCTCTAAAAACAGCGAGACTTACAGGAAAGGCATTCAAAAACATGGTAAAGGGGGTCATGAGTTCTGGGAGGTGCTGTTGCTCCTGGCCCAGCCCAGCTCTCAGACGTCTGTCCTTCTGGCTCCAGCCAGTCTCAGGCCTTCTCTTTTCCTTGGCAGGGTGGACGTGGTGATCTGCCTGAGCACCACCGTGCGCAATGACACTCTGCAGGAAGCCAAAGAACACAGGGTGTCCCTGAAGTGCCGCAAGCAGCTGCGGGTGGAGGAGCTAGAGATGGTAATGCCTCAAACCACTGCCTCAACTCCCAGAAACCCCAGGGGCAGGGGATAAAAAGTTGGGTGAAGAGTGAGGGCTTAATGGAAAGATTTTAGCCACTATTGTGATAGTTAAGACTTGGAGCCACGTGGTAAAATTTTACAGTATGACAGCTTATTTTACTCTTTTTTTTTTGAACGATAAAATGTTTTTTACAGCACGTAACTGGAAGACCAAAGTAAGACGGGCTGTAAGCATGTGATACAGTCATTGTATCAGTAATGTCCTCAAGGATCAGCTGTCTCCCTTTTACTGCTGTCCTCCCACCAGCTTCATCATAAGGCTAGTTTCCCTCATAACAGTTGCCTGCAACACCTGGGCCATCTGCTCCAAAATTCATCTCCAGCAGGAAAATAAAAACAAGGGAAACTTCCCCAGCATGAAAAAAAGATCCTTCCCTTCAATTTGATTTGTCAGTTTGAGGTCTGTACCACTCCCTGACCAACAGCAGCCTCCAGGGGAGTGCTGTGTACTGATGAGCTAGCTGATCAACAAGGTGAAGTGGAAGTCAGCCGCAGTGTGCGCTATAAGAGGAAAATTCTATTGCTCAAAAGAAGTCCAAGGCCATGTAGCTAGATAGTGGCAGAACTGAAACTAAATCCCTTTTCTCCTGCTACTTTGCTATGTAGAAGTTGTGCTTACCAGATACAGTCAACAAATAAGCATGTAGATCATTTGACATCTCCATCTTAGAGTAACCTCCCTTTACCATGCTGGTTCCCTTTCATACAGACAGAGGACATCCGTCTGGAACCAGATCTGTATGAAGCCTGCAAGAGTGACATCAAGAACTACTGTTCCACAGTGCAATACGGCAATGCCCAGGTAACTTTTTGTTATTTTTTTAACTGCAAAAGTAATGTGAAGGTGACATTTTAATAATTCTTTTCTGGTAGGATAGGCCTTATCGCATCCTATCCAGCCTAATCATCCCCCCACGAGCTGTGCCAGACTTTTTTCCCCAAAGTTTCCCTTTGTGTTCTATTTACCCTCTTCCCTTTTTCAGGTTACCTTGTCTGCCTAATAACCTCTTACTGATACTTCATATGCTTCCTCCTCTCAATAACTTTCCCAGCACTCTGCACCTCCATAATTATCCCCTCATTATGTTCCCATTGCACAGTTCTTAACTAAAGGTCACACAAGTATCACCTGGGAAACTTTAAAAAAAAAAAATGTGTGTAACAGGGACCTACCCAGGATCATCAGGAATGAAGTACAAGCAAATGATTTTTTTTAATGTTCTCCCAGTGACTCAGCTACCTCTTCTAGTTCAGGGCATTGTCTTAGAGCTTTTCGTTGAGATGATGTCTTCGTTATCTTCTTGTATCTAGTATTGTCGATGCAGAGTCTCAGGTCAATCTGATTCTCATTTCTGTATAGTTAATCTATGAGTTTTCTCTTTATCTTTAATGATCTGTAATTTCACTGTGATGTGATTAGGTTTTTTTTTTTTTTCTTTATTCTGGTTGGCTCTTTCAGTCTCAGAATTCATGCCTTTCTGCAGTTTTCATTCCCAAGATATGCAATTGATTCTTTTCATAATCTCTTGCTTGTTATTTACCATTTTCTTCTGTATTGTTCTGAGGATATTAAATAATATGTTTTAATAGCTCTGTTACCTTTTTCCTCAGTTATTTGATGATTCTTGGTTGTGCCTTGAGGATTTCACAGAAGTCTCGTGACTTTATGCTACAGCCCTAGCTACTGTAGCTTTTCATCTCCCCTTCTTTATCGTTTACAGGTGATAGAGGAAAGGGGAGGTTTCAGGATATACTTAATTCACTCCTATAAAATTGATCCTATACTACTTCATGCTTTTTATTTTTATTATTTTTTAATATATTTTAATTGATTTCAAAGAGAGGAAGGGAGAGAGAGAATCATCAATGGTAAGCTGTCTTTGATTGGCTGCCTCCTGCATGCCCCCAACTGGGGATCGAGCCTGAAACCCAGACATGTGCCCTGACCGGGAATCAAACCGTGATCTCCTGGATCATAGGTTGATGTTCAGCTGCTGAGCCACGCCACCCGGACTACTTTATGCTTTTTTAAAAAACTTTATTGTTGATACGATTACATATGTCCCCATTTTCCCCTCCTTTGCCCGCCTCCACTCAGCCACCCCCATCCCTAACCCCTCTCCCATTCCCTCTGACAGCTGCCAGTCCTCCATGTATCCATGCCTCTAGTTCTATTTTGTTCATTAGTTTATTTTGTTCATTAGATTCCACATATAAGTGAAATTGTACGGCAGTATTTGTCTCTCTGATTGACTTATTTCACTTAGCATAATATACTTTATGCTTTTATGTTAATCCACTCTTCTTTTTTATTGTACTTATTTATTTATATAAGTTTGCCCTATGCGGTGTAAGGATTGGGTCTGATTCATACCTGGCAGGTAATGCTCTATTCTCAGGTGGTAAGTGGTGAGCTGAACTAAATCTCCTGGCTTGTGCCTACTCCCTAGTCAGGGTTGTTGCTCCAGGGAAAGTCAGAGAGCCTCATCTGTGCTCCAGAAGGACTCTTGACAAGGAACCGCTCTAGAAGGCAAAAGAAACCAGGAATCCTCAGTGGGTTTCCTTGCCTTTAGAGTTCAGTGCAGCCTGCTATTCATCCATTATTTTTATATAGTTTGGTTTACTATTACCTCTGAAGTTATAAAGCTGTAAATATAGTTCTCCTTGATAAGGAAATTCTGATTCTAACTACTAAGAATTAGAAATGGAAGATACCTGGATAGAAAGATAGGGATGCACTAGGATCTGAATGCTTCTGTCAGGATATATGGATTATCAATCTCGGATACTCCCCTTAACTTGACTATAACTCTTACTCCTTAGATTATTGAATGTCTGAAAGAAAACAAGAAGCAACTAAGTACCCGTTGCCACCAGAAAGTTTTTAAGCTGCAGGAGACAGAGATGATGGACCCAGAACTAGATTATACGCTCATGAGAGTTTGCAAGCAGATGATAAAGGTAAGAAATCCAAAACCAAGTGCTAAGCACAGGGTGAGTAAAATAACAGCATAAACTTCTTTAAATGTCAGAGCAAATTCATATAATCTTTCCATTTTCAGTTGTTTATACAGCTAAGACTTGGTTCTCAAAGTCTGGTCCCAGACCAGTAGCATCAGCATCACCTGGGGATCTACAAATTCCTGGGCCCCACCCCAGACCTACTGAATCAGAAACTCTGGGAGTGGAGGTTTCTGTTTTAACAAGCTCTCCAGGCAATTCTGATGCATACTCAAGTTTGAGAACCCGTGAGCTAAGATAACTGATTTCACTTTGACCTGAGCCACAAGTAACTGGAGGTCCAGTGAATATATGATTGGTTTGGGGGATGATTGGTGGTAGTATACTGAGAAAACCACCTTCAGGTGTCCTAATCGTTAATCTACCACAATCAAAAGGCTTTTCCATTCTATAAGGTTTTTGCTTCATTTACTTCTCCAGTGAACATTCTCTACCTCAGAGCTGACTTGAAAACCTAGATGTCAGTTCTTGGATCTATCCATACATAGAGAGAGATTAAACTTAAGGTTCTGACCCCTTATTTCAGTTCCCCTTTAATATAAAGTGCTACTTTTCACCCTATCAGATAAATTCCAAAGAGAATTGTGAAAGTTAGAAGTCTCTTTAGCTGGGCCTCGTAGAATTGAGTGCTCTGTAAAAGTGGAAATATTGGTCTTTGATTTGCGGGAACTTCATAAGACTTTGATGACTTTCATAAAAATCAGTCAACAGTCCACATCCCCATATTCAGGTGTCAGTAGACTATAATTAGCCAGTAGAGATGGAATTTTTTTACTAGTCCAAAATGGAGCTCTGACTTCAAGGACACTAAGAAGTGTATAGAGGCTAGCCCTGTAGTTAAGAGATAAGCCAAATGGGTCCTTTCCACACATCCCTGCTCACACTGGTTAGTGGGTAATTCCTGAGTTTCCCATTGGAATTGGGTAGATATTTGGCCACCTGGTACAATGTTATATTCATGCTTAATAATGTATAAGCTCATGAGATGCCATGTAATGTAACAGCCATGAAGGTAAGGAATCAGCTCTATGCAAAGTAGGAAGCACTGAGGTGGGAGAAAGAAATGGAGAGCTACAGTAGAGAATAGGTCAAAAACGGCGAACTTGAGGCTGAGTGCTTATTCAGGCTTAGCCATGAGGCTGCTTCTGTCATAAGCTTCTCAGTAGATGTATGGATGATCCAGGTGATACAGATGGTGGTAATTGCCACATTTGGATAGCCGTTTTTAGAAAACTTTGATTCTTTGCAGAGATTCTGTCCAGAAGCAGATTCCAAAACCATGTTGCAATGCTTAAAACAAAATAAGAACAGTGAATTGATGGATCCCAAATGCAAACAGATGATAACCAAGCGCCAGATCACCCAGAATACAGGTAACATCTTGGCTTGGCTTTCTTGGTCCTACACTTAAATGGAACTGAGTGGGCATATCCATGTCTAATTAAACTGTAGGTGCTTTGTTGCTTGTGAATTTTAAGGGAGAGCCTAGATATAAGCAAAAGGACTTACTCCTTCCTTGAATAGTATCCAGAAGAACAGAATGAACGCCATGGGAAAGAAGAGGCTGAAAAAATAGGAAACTGCCTTTGAAGGGCATACAGAAGAAATCAGGTCTAGATTTCTTGAAAAGTGTAGAAATTAATAAAACGTCATGCATGTGGCAGGCAAATATAAGGGTAATCCATTTTAGAACAGAAATTTCATCTCTTGAGTTGCAAGACCTTGTCACTAAATGGGCAGGGTGAGTTGGATATTCTGTTCTCAGTATTTTCAAAAATAACTCATGTGGGGAAGGTTGTTGATGTCTGCTTGATTTTTGTGAGGACTACTTGGAAGATCAGTCTAAGACCCTGAAGAGTTGGTGCAGAATAGAAGCATTCCTGATTTGTATTTCTGACTAAAAACAATATAGTGAGAGCTCAGTAAACATTTATTGAATAAGCAAATCAGTGGTTTATTTGTGGTCATTAATATAATATGCCCCTTTTTGGAATGTGGATCTCTAAAAATTTGTGAATCCAGTTGGAATACTTTATAATGTTCTTACCACTTTCTGCTCTAGATTACCGCTTAAATCCTGTGTTAAGGAAAGCCTGTAAAGCTGACATTCCAAAATTCTGTCATGGTATCCTGACTAAGGCTAAGGAGGATTCGGAGCTAGAAGGTCAAGTCATCTCTTGCCTGAAGCTGAGATATGCTGACCAGGTAAATGGTCCTGGGCTCTCAACAGAGAGGCATATTTAGGGAGCTTTCTCTATTCCTGGCAGTGGTTCTCTTTGGAAGCCTTAGCTCGCTCCTACTTCCCCAAGACCTTTTTTTTTCCCATTGCTTTTCAGAGAGAGTGGAAGGGGAAGAGAGAAAGAGAGGAACACCAATGTGAGAGAGACACATTGATTGGTTGCCTCCCGACCGGAGCCAGGGATCCAGCCTGCAACCGAGGTACGTGCCCTTGGCCGAAATTGGACCCGGACTCTTCACTCCGAAGGCCGATGTTCTATCCACTGAGCCAAACCGGCTAGGGCCCCAATACCTTTTTTTTATACTTCCCCCAAGTCAGGGGCCAAATAAAAAGCTGCAGTTGTCTAAGAGGCTGACATATCTCCCTTTGTCACATGTAGCGCCTCTCTTCAGACTGTGAAGACCAGATCCGGATTATTATTCAGGAGTCTGCTCTAGATTACCGACTCGATCCTCAGCTCCAGCTACACTGCTCAGATGAGGTAGGATTTGGGTATGAAACTGGTTGTGAACAGAGCTGGTCAGAGAAGTTTTATTGGAGAAAAGTTCTTTACTCTCTTTTCCTAAGCCTGACTTCAGGGTTAGTTGAAGGCCCATCTTCTAGGCTTTCTATTGTGTGAGTTCCTGGTTCTCTGTAACACTGAATTAGACTTGTCACTGTACAGTGCTGATTCTGTACTTCTCTGTTAAATAAGAGCATCCTGTTATTATATCTATGTACATATAGTTTGTTCTTCCCTTCTCCTAATTCTCACAGTCAACCCAGAACACCCCAAGACTTGTCAGAAAGATAAAAGTGCTCCTATAATAGCTCTAAAGAAGTTCCTGTCCTTGGAAATTGACTTCCTAGCCAGAAAAGGCCATGTGAAAAACCATGTTCAGCGTAGGTGAACTTTAGGGGATCATAGTTAAAAATACTTTGAAAAAGCCTACTCAGAGCTGTCCAAAGAAGATTAAGTTTTTAATCCGTGCTGCAAGCTGTTTCAAGACGTGTGTGTGTGCGCGCGCATTTCCAAGTTGTGAGCCTGAGTCAACCCTGAACCTCTGTAAATGTCAAGCATTTGCTTAAGTTTAGTATTTTACTTGCTAAGTAACCTTCCTTCTGTGGAATCAGGGAGTAGTCTGTGATTCTAGTCCTTGACTAGACCTGGGACAGTCTGTCTCAAATCTCAAGGCTGACGGCATGAAGATATGTGCATTGACTGGTTTTTGACTCTGTGTCAGTCCTTGTAAAGGAAAATGGACCTTGGTGTCTCGTTCTGGAGGGAAGGGAGTAAAATCCACCGGGAATCTGTTTGAGAAGAGCTCCAGGCACATGCATGGGAGGATCACCAGATCTATACATTTCAGAGACCAAGGTTTCTGGTGACACTAGGGCGGCCTTGTTTTTTTGTGTCTCCTGAACAGATCTCCAATCTGTGTGCCGAGGAAGCAGCAGCCCAGGAGCAGACAGGTCAAGTAGAGGAGTGCCTCAAAGTTAACCTGCTCAAAATCAAAACAGAAATGTGTAAAAAGGTAACCACCATCAATCACCACTTCCTCCCACTTGCTTTTCTCTCCTCTTTCGCTTTTTCCTTTTAATGCTGTAGTCTGCACTTCTTAGTAATAAAATCTAAACCTTCCTTCCCAGAATGCTATGCTGTTCCCTTTTACCAAACTTTAATTTGGTTTTTGACCATTAATGGCCTATAACTTAAATATACTTTCACATATACTAATTATTTGTGAATATGTCTCATTTCCATGACTAGACCATTGTTTAAAGGGCACTCTGAGTGCAGTACCAAAGTAAAATGTCAATTCCAATGTATCAGTAAGTGTATCGCATTCATGAAAATCAATGAAACTAAAAATTCATTTCAGAAACATCACATACAAACAGATTTATCAAAATGTAACTGCTAAGCATACATTATCTTGCAAAATTGAAAATGAAATTATGTATTTGATCTTTTTAAAAAAAACTTTATCTTTTTTTGAAAATGTGTTAGTGATGTCATTGTTGAGTCAGTGTGAATATTGTGTGCAAATATTTTCATGTGCTAGAAATGTTTCCAATTTCTCATGATCTCAGTTTACTAAAAGCTAAATCTAGATATTTTCCATTGTCATCAAATGGTCCCATCTAACTTCGAGGAGGACTTTTTGAACAATATTTGAGTTTTATTTGGGGGGTATTTTTATTATTATTGTTTTACAGGGACTACAGTGTTTCTTTTGGGAGTAAACTAAGTTTTATTTAAGAAATCATTTCTGGCCTGTCTTTACCTCCTGTAATTTCATGTATAATTAGAGGGTCTTCAGAGTTGATTTCAATTCTATTATGTTTGTATGTCTCTTCAGAACTTCTTTAAACTCAAATAAGATTTATTCTTGCAGTAGCATTATGCTGTCATTTTTTTTTTTTTCTTTTTGAGGATAATGGAGATAAAGGGAAGCATTTTGCAGACATTTACTTTTCTTTGGGAATTTTCATATAGCATATTACTCTGATTTTCTGACTTCTTAAAGTAACAACATAACTGTATTACACCAATATGAATACTAACATTTAGTGTTTAATAATATGACATACCAGAATGTCAAAATCCCAAATATGATCTTACAAGCTACTGTTTAGCAAACAGCTCTATATTCACTAGGTCCCCAAGTGTATTTGTTAAATAGGATGCTGAAAATCTGCATTCTTTGCATCAGCACCACATTGCCACCTGTCTCAGAGTAGGCGCTGTTGTTGATCTTCAACCTTCCCGCCTTGACTTTTGTTTGTACCAGAAGTATTTGCAGACAACAAATCTGATGCATTTTTTTCTATAAAAGCAATCTCTGCAATGTTCTTCCCTTCCTAGGAGGTGTTAAACATGCTGAAGGAAAGCAAAGCAGACATCTTTGTGGACCCAGTTCTTCACACAGCTTGTGCCCTGGACATTAAACACCACTGTGCAGCCATTACCCCTGGCCGAGGGCGTCGTAAGTCACCATGTTCACTCTGACTCTGTCTGAACTATCTTGGGAGGAACAAAGACTCCCCCTGAGACATCAGTTGCAGCTACTCTGTTCTGTAGCTGCAGCTCAACCACAGACATCCTCTGGGAGCCTGGTTGATGCCTGAACTAGGCCTTTGTGGCAAAATGAACTTTGGAATAATCCAGCAACTTGAACTGAAAGTTGAGTTATCAGGGAGGCATAAGTTAAGCCATCATCATGGACCTCTTTCACACCTTGTTCAATCTAGAACAGCTTTATCAGCTTCCCCAGTGGCCACTTTAGGCTCAATACACAGGTTCTATGTGAGGTAGAACCTGGGAAGGTATAAAATTGTGTTTCTGTTCCATGTGTGCCCAGTAAAAATAAGAGAGATTTTAGGAGATAGTCTGGACGGTCTATCTTGGGATGAAATATTCTCTGTTAGATGTTGGGTCAGGTTTCCTAGAATAGATTTCACTTTGTTCATGCAACAGATCTGAAGTCTCTTGTGGTTAGGTAGCCTTCTCCCCAACCTTATTGAAATTTCTCGGTTCTGTATGATTTCAGATTCTTCTTATCCCTTTCCTTCCACAGAAATGTCCTGCCTCATGGAGGCCCTGGAGGATAAGCGGGTGAGATTACAACCTGAGTGCAAAAAACGCCTTAATGATCGGATTGAAATGTGGAGTTACGCAGCAAAGGTAATCACCAAGAGAATCTCCTAAAGTGGCCATCTGTTCTGTCAGTTTCCCAGTTTCTTCAAGATACTTCACTGGTTTTCTTGTCCTTATTGTGAGGCTGACAGTAGGTATATTTGAAAAAATCTGTCGTACCTTTAAGCCTCCTTGGCTGTCCGTGAGCCTGGAACCACCATCTTGCTTTGTATTGGGCTGTGTCTGCAAGGTTTTGCCAGGGCCATTACTTTCTGCCCTCAGGGGCCCACAGTCCACCACTAAATAGTGAGTCACCCCAAGGAAGGATGAGACATAAGCCAGCTATGCAAAGAGAAACTAGACATCATGCCCATGGGAAAAGAAAGCTATTTGGCCACTGCTGTTGCATAGCTGGTGTTTCTAATTTTGCATAGTGCATGGGAGAGTATATATGTGAGACTGGCCCTCAGCTTACCTGGAACATGGAGAATAATAGGAGAGAGACATTAAGACACTAGTGAAAGTGTACAGTACCCAGGCGGACCTGGGCTAGGGCATATTCTTCCTACAGAAATTCAGCCTCAGTGAGAAGAATGAGAACAGTTCTCCTCATGCATACATTGCTTCGTAGTTTTAAAATCGCTTTGGTGGATATATTACCTCATTTAAACCTTGAAACCCTGTGAGGTGAGTGGAATGATTATTTTCCCACTTTATGGTGGAGGAAACTGACTTCAAAAATTATTACTTGCCGAAGGTGAAAAATTCAGGTTTCTAGATCCACGCTCTTTGTATCTCCCTGTGCTGGGATAGACATTCCTTAGATCAAGAGAGAGAACACAAGGACTCCTCCTTGGCCAGTTCTTCCCATCACCCATATGCTTAAAGGTCAAGGGTAACGAGGAAGGGGGAAGGACCACAGAAAGTCTTTGTACCTAGAAATAAGGCACCGTAGCTGTCAAAAGAGCACGCACACCCCTCACCCCTTCTCCCAAGGGGAACGAAGTCAGCTTTGATGTCCTCGGTTAGTTGAGGCAGCAAGAATGAAATTAGTCTCTTCTTTCCACATCAGTTGCCACTTTTGAGCTGATAAGAATTGCTTCAGGGTAACACCATTGCTTGTTTTGTGTTGACAAGTGTTGGTACTTGAATCGCATTCATCTGAAGCCTCCTGCTCTATTTTGTGTACCTGGGATGAGCGTAGAAGCAGCCCAGACATCTCAGGGCCAGCCCCTTTCAGGTACCCAGGCTAAGGTGAGACTCAAAAGAACAGGTTTGTGTGCACCTGGGGAACCTTTTGGTTCTGATTCTGCCATAGCACGCTACTAGAGAGGTACATTTGAGAAAGCAGTGAGGGCAACTGAGCATGAAGACTAGTTACATAGTAAATGTCCACAGTCGGGGAAATGGGGAAATATATTCCGTTCCTGTACATTGTGTTTGCACATTATTTTTGATGTGGGGGATGCTTATGATAGAATAAGGAGTGAAAACAAGTCAAGATATAGAATTAGCATGCAACATAATTTCACTTTTCTTAAAAGGCATAAAACATGATGAATAAAATAAATCAGAATACATAAGAACCAGTTACCTTTTGCAAGTCACTAAACCACCTCCCACTCGTTGGGCCTCTAGATCTTCATTGTAATACGGGAATAATAAAATCTGTTTGCCAGGATTGCAAACATGTTGTACCCTTTGCCAGGACCCAGCATATTTCCCAGTCCTCAGCGTGTGAGGGGTATTATTTTGTTAGTGGTAGTGATTGCTGTGATGAGACTCCCCCTCTAATCTTTTTTTTTTTTTTTTTTTAAATCTTAACAGTCCCTTTTGTTTTTCTTTTTTAAAAAAAAAAGTTTTTAATTGAATTTATTGGGGTGACATTGGTACACAAAAACTACAGGTTTCAAGTGTAAAACTCAACAAAATATCATCTGCTCACTGCATCGTCCGCCTGTCACCCAAAGTAAAGCCTCTTTCCATCCCCATTTATTCCCCCTTTGCCCACCTCCAGCTCTCCCCAACGCCCTTTGCCTCTTGCTATGACCACACTGTTGTCCATGTCTGTGTGTGTGTGTGTATACACACATTTGGTTTTTTGCTTAATCCCTTCACCTTTTTTCACCCATCTCTCCAAACCCCCTTCCCTTTCACAGCTGTCAGTCTCTTCTCTGTATCTGTACTTCTGTTTCTGTTTTGTTTGTTAAATTATTTTCTTCATTAGTTTCCACACATAAGTGAGATCATATGGGATTTCTCTTTCTCTGACTGGCTTATTTCACTTAGCACAATACTCTCCATGTCCATCTAATCTTGTGCGGTAGGTAGTTACAATATTATCATCAGAAAAAAAGAGCTGTAGCCCTAGCCTGTTTGGCTCAGTGGTTAGAGCGTCAGCCCGCGGACAAAGTTTCCCAGGTTTGATTCCGGCTCAGGGCACGTACCTCAGTTGCAGGCTCAATCCCCAGCCCCAGTCAGCATGAGAGCAGGAGGCAACCAATCAGTGTATCTCCCTCACATCTATGTTTCTATCTCTCTCTCCCCCTTCCACTCTCTGAAAAACAATGGGAAAAATATCCTTGAGTGAGGATTTAAAAATAATAATGATAAGAAAAAGAAAAAAAAAGTTGTAGCTCTTGTCCCTTGCCCTTGCTCCTCAAAAGAAATAATGTAAATTAAACTAAGAATCGTGGTAGGGCAAGTTAGAGCTAACACAACCCCCAGCCCGGTTCTCTTTCAGTGGGTGATGCTATTACATGTCATTCCAGGTGGCCCCAGCGGATGGCTTCTCTGACCTCGCCATGCAAGTGATGACATCCCCGTCAAAGAACTACATTCTCTCTGTGATCAGTGGGAGCATCTGTATATTGTTCCTGATTGGCCTGATGTGTGGACGTATCACCAAACGAGTGACACGAGAGCTCAAGGACAGGTAGAGCCACCTTGACCACCAAAGGAACTACCTGTCCAGTACCGTTTGTACAGCCCTCCTGTATAGCGTACCCGCTCACCTCGTTCTTCTCAGAGGTGCACCAACACCCGTGGTAGAGCAGCAGCAGGCATCCACTCCACTGTCCCATCTCAGACTCCACCTGTGTCATGGTGTCCCTCTCCTTTCGACCATTTGTGCAGCATCAGCAGCTGGCCGCTTTGGTTATCGCCTTTGTTGGCAGACTTAGGTATACTTGCCTGTAGACAAGTCTCTCTCATACCAGTGGAAGTATCAGTACTTCCAGAACCAACTCACCTGACCTGCAACTCAAATGATTTCTTTTTTTTTAAAAAAAACCAAAAAAAAAAAAAAAAAAGGAAAGAAATTTTTAAAGAAAGAAAAAAATGTATATAGTAACACATCTCCTCCAAGCTTGATTTGGGCAGTGGGGTTATTTCTTCTGTGTGACTGTGTAAAATGAAGACAGGACGTTAGAGGGGAAACACACCACCCAATATGCTATATAACTAGGATGTATTACTCATTTCTCGAAAGCACCTTTGGGCCACGTCAGGGCCATGAACTTCACCAAGTGGTGGGAAACCACTAACCAGCCAACCTTGGATCCTGTTTTCTTCTGCTGAAACAGTGATGCCTTCCAGTTTCCACCCTAACAGCCACTGCTGTCAAGACCCCCAAGGCCATATGTATTTCTACGATCTCACCTCAGTGAAGTAAAGCATGAGTCTCCTGAGGCCAAAGGCAAATGGACTGGGGAGAGGATTGAAAATCTGTGATGCTGATCTGCACTGACAGGCTGCACCCTGAGTCCCCAGGCAGCAGAATCCCAGTGATCTTCCTCCTCCAGGCTAGTGCAGGACTCAGTTGTGTTGGGATTGACTCTGCTGGGGTAGTAGTGGCTCCAGAAGCCCTGCCAGGAAGTAGTCAGTGCGAGGGAGGAGGCTCAGGGCCGGAAGGAGGAGCAAGGGTTTCATTCACTTTGCTTTATTTTTCAGGCAACAGTGCAGGTCAGAAACAATGGCTGATAAAGATTTAGCGTGTTCTCAGGGTGTGCCTGGCAGTCCAACCTGACCTTTTTGCAGGCTCAAGGCCAACTTCCCAGACACTCCTTTATGCCTCTACATGGAGAGGGCGTGGAAAGTTATTACATTAGAAGATGGAGGCTTTTTTTCTTTCTTTCTTTCCGTTACTGTGTATACGCACTGTGTTAGGCATTGGCTAAATGTTGTACTTTGGTGATTCATCAGTCTTTTCAGAATCTGAGCTTAATGGAAGCAATATTCCTAGCCATCCTCCCTTACCCTCCCAGTGTGGAGGTGACAGGTTTGGAGTGTACAGAGGGAGAGTGCAGGTATCGGTTCTACCTGGCACAGCTTGGTTTGAATTTCGGGCATGGAGTCACAGTGGCTGCATAAGAGAGTGGTGTGTACAGTAGGAGATATATTTATATAATATATATTTTATTAACCTGTTAGACGTCCACAAAGTATTATAAATCATGTGCCTAAAACTGTCTACATAGACCATGGCGCCCTTCCTCTCCTGCCCCTCCTTTGCCACTGTCCATGTGTTCCGCGGACCTACACAACATTTGTCTTCCCTGAAATGTGTTCAGTACAAAGTGGGTCGGTTTGTGGATCAGTTGATCCAAATTACTCCTTGTCTATTCTGACTGACATATATTTGATACTGTGGTTTTCTTCTTTTTCTTTCATTTCTCCTTGCTACCCTTCCTGGAGGCAGTGGGTCCCAGGACCCAGCTGTATATCCCCCCTGCCTAGGGTAATACAAGTTGCCAAGGGGAGCCACAGAGCTGCTTGGTTCCCTCAGTCCTGCTCCTAGGGTCTTCCTGATTCTCAGCAACTGTTGTAAGATTCTTCAGTCTCATAAAACTTGAAACTCTTGGAGTCTAAGCAGTACCCCCCACCACCACCACTGTTGGACTCAATTGAGCTGGTCCAGACAGTTTGCCCTCAAGAGTTCCCACCTGGGCTGCTGAGGCTCAGGATCAAGAAGTGGGGATGTCCTCTAAATGCAGCCCCCTCCCGCAGACATGTCTGGTATGGTTTACAGGATAGGATTAATGTTCACCATTTGGGGGGCTGGTGCCATTCTCATCTGTGCAGTCTCCCTCCCAATACATGTAAAACATCTCCATAATTTAATGTGTCTCAGTATTTCTGTTCTTTTTGAGCTGAGACAATCTTATTCATTGTGTGCAACAGATGTAGAAGTTTGAGGAGTTAGATTCTTGAAACTTTTGTCACCTTTAGAAATGGTAAAAATAGAAGGGATAACTCTGCCTGTATCTTCAATTGCTTATTTTAAGAAAGCATTTCCCCATCCTACTTGGAATAGTTTTATATGACTGGTTCTTGAGACTCTAGGCAGTGTCATGAGCAGTATGCCTAGCACCGTCTGCACCTGCAGCCTACTGTATCTGTTCTGTACTGCATTTGGTATAACAAAACAGGTTCTGGAGCACCTCTGGTTACCAGCCTCATGGTTCAGTCATGATTGAATCAGCTAGTCAAGAAGAAGAAACCATGACCCTTGAGGAGGAGCTGATGACAGATTGTGGCATTTATCTCTTCTGATATCTAGCCCATGAACAGTAACATAAGGAGCAGGTGGGGTTTTTGCCAAGGCCAAGGCTCCTGGCAATTGCTAAAAATTACAGTAGCCAGGTAACTCCCCTGGCCTTATTAGCTCACTCCAGTGCCTCAGGAACTCATACTTACTGTGCTCTATGACATTCCAGAGACACCAGGAGGTCAGTCTCCTTGGCTGGAGGCACTATAAAGACAAAATCAGAAACCTGGACAAAATGTCAAGAACAAGACTGACTGCTCCCTGTACTGGAGCGTCTCCCACAGAGGGTGGCTCCTGGAATGAGACTTCACTTTAGTGCATCCCTGGCCCTCCTCTGCTATTGCTGCTGTCCCAAAAGAAGCCTGCTAGCAAGATGCCCCGAGATGGGAGTCCTAGCAAAGGCTCAGGTTCTCCCATTACCTGGAGACCCTCTGCCAACACTCCCAGTCCCAGTTCTGTGGATCCAGTCAGCTCGTTCTGAACCAGGGCGTCCTTAGAAGCTAGGGGAATTCTAATATTTAGTGAACAGGTGTTGACTTGAATTCATTGCAGGCCTTCAGCAATCTCACATCCTGCACTTACTGTCCTGGGGGACAGAGAGCAGTTCTGCTGGTGGAGAGAGAAAGATTCTGCTCTCCTAGAAGATACGACAGAAAATTACTATTAGAGTTCATCTCTTCCCATTTCCTGAGGCCACATAATAGAAGAATCCAACAGTCGAGAGGTCTGTAGCATTCATTTACATTTCATCAAAGTGGAAAGGGAGTTATATGCTGACTTCCTCTACCTTCCCAAGAGAAGAGCCACTCGTATATACGAGTGTGACTTTTGGAAATGTCTCCCATCCTCCCCACCCCCAGGCTGTGGTACTACTACTAGCCCAAAATCCCCGCTACTGTGATTCATCAGGGAGGGGTAGATTACTTCATGGGACCTCCTTTGTTAGCTGACCTCAAAGTTTCTCTGAGAAAAGGCCTTCATTTCCTATTTCTTCCCCTCCTCCAACAAAAAAAGAAATGCTCTTCACAGATAACTTACACTAAGTAAACACATGTGGAGAAGGAAACTAGAATTGAGACCCTTGGAATCCAGCCCGCCCAGCCTGACACATTCAACCTGAATTTTGGCCATAGAACAAAAAGAAGAATATGGCTTTCAAATGAGGTGCATTTTGATGTGTTTACTTGTATTTCAGCTGCTTATAAATTCTAAAAACCTCAGAGATCCCTTTTATTTCTCACTGTTTGGACAGCACCAAAGCAGTGCTATAAAATGCAGCAATCCAGTGTCCTGGGTTTTCCTGGGCTTTTAGAGACACTCCTCACCTCCACATTGGTCTTTGATTCCCAAAGGCCTAGGCCCAGAGCAGATGTTGTTCTGGCCTGCTTCTCTCTCGTTGTCTTCAGTTGCCCACCTCTCTAACTCCACTGCTCGTAGTCCTCCTCTCCACCAGGCAATCGAGAATCACGTTAGGGCAATCAAGTGTGAAGCTGAATCCCCCTTCCTGGCCAGACCTCAGACAGCAGATAAGTCATTAGCAGACAGACTGACTCTTCAGAGCGGCAAGTTCCCCCAACCTATCTAGTGAGGTCACTGGAGACCCAGGGACTATTTGCATCTGAGCTCAAAGGTGTGACAGTCAGCTGGGGCTGGTGGTGACAGGATCCTGACAGTGGTTTTCTCTCCTTCCCCCTTCCCAAGATCCACTGCAATGCGCAGGGAGGGATGTTGGGATACATGCAGTGGAGAAATCTCCCTGGGCAAGGAGAAAATTCAGATAGTGCCTCTATATTTTGTTTTTGCCTTCACCCAACATAGAATTGACACCTGGACCCAGAGCCCAGCAGGCCCTATGTCAGACATGGTAGGGTGGTTTAAACAGGTCCCCCAGTCAGACTGCAGTGTACTGGATGGAGTGGCTTCTCCCAGCACAGTGTTCCCATGTCAGTCCAAACAGGAAAACAGACTGTGCAGCAAATGCTGTGTGAGATCTTAGGCCTTTAACTTTTTTTTAAGAAAGAAAAGTAAAATTAACAAGCCTCTTTTGTAAATGATTTTCCTTTCTATGTATAAAATCCCTGCAGTTCCTTGTTTTTACATGTTCATGCTGTGTAATTTTGAGATGTGACTGAGATTCTGAACATAATGTGCATTTTTTTCTGTACAGATGAAATGGGAGAATTTAATAAAGAGTTTGCAGGTTTTTACTTGTTAAACCTTCTCTGTGGTGACTGGGAGGACTCTCCAACCACCTGCTCTGCTAGTAAAAGTCGATGGAGCTGTGAGCACCAACTGTGAACTTGTCACTGATGCTCACAAAACTTGTTAGGTTTTTAGTATTCTTGGTTAATTAAGTCAAGCAGAATAGGACCACAGGACTTTTAGAAGAGAGAGGGAAATCAGATCTGGGTTTTTCTGACTCTCAGACTGATGTATCTAGAATTATTCATTCTACTGCTGTGTTTAGGCCATGTCCTGAGGCTCCTTCCTGGGGAGAGCACCTACCTGGAACCTCTTATAGATACAACACATGGATGGTGCCTGGTCTAGTGGCTGCCTTCCAGTTGAGGTACAGAGGTAGGCCACATTTACTTTCTGTGCCCTGACCAGTCCTGGGATCAGTGACTGCTGTGACACCCTTGCTGAGCCTTTTCTTCTACCTCCTCCACTCAGCAAAGCTAATTTGCATCTGGGTGTTTAAAAAATAATAAATGAATTTGCAAGGTAGCAAAGATTTCTTGAAGTCGTAATGTCCGTAATAGGATTCCAGTAATTGGATGTTTGGTGAGAAAGGAATGGGTAACCTGGGACCCACAGTTTCTTCTTAGAAACTTCAAATCCATGTCGGCAGCTATAACGTAGGAGGTGGTGGGCCTGGGTAAAGAGTGGAGGCTGGAAGAAGGCAAAGAGTAGAGGAAAGTCCTTTTGAGTCCCAACTACAGATAGTCCTGCATGTAGGAAGCTGTGGGCAGCCATCAGCCCTGAATGGGAGCAGTCTAGTACCAGGTGCTCTTGAGTATCCTAGAGGAGCTGCCTGCTTGGTGTAAGTGTAGGCAATGAGGTGCAGGGTTCAAGCTCTCTACCCCGGTACCTCACAAGGGAAAAATGGCTCACCAGCCCAGCTATACTTGGCCACTCCAGGGAATGCTCAGCGGTGATAGGGAACATGCTGTCCAGCTGAAGCGTCAGCAGTCTCAGAATCAATCGCCCCACCCCAAATCATCTGTGTTTGATTTTTCTGATAAAAGATGCTTGAACTTCTGCCCTGCCCAGCAGTCCACTCTTCTGAGCCTTCCTTCTCTTCTTCCCTCATCACTACTAACCAAAGCTTCCTACAAGGGGGCTCCACCATCTACCCTTTTTTTCCTAAGCCCACTGTCACCTGCTCCATTGCTGTCCTACACCCTCAGACTCACCCTGATAGAGCAGATGGGTACCTTCCCCAAAGATAAACTGGCCTGAAAAACACATGGCACAGTAGTAGGTGCCCTCATCAGCAGAGCTGGCATTGCCCACAGTAAGGTATATGGCATTCTGGGCCGGGTCTATGTCTGCCAGGTTGGGGGAGGCCCTTCGTGCTGACTTGGCAGAAACCTGACTTATCAGCTGCTGGTACCAAGACAAGACATGGGCCCTGGCAGGGCTGCCCTGCACTGCACACCCCAGATGTGCGAGTTACCTTGTCCACTCATCACAGAAGGCTGAGGCTGGAGGCACCTGGAGAGGCAGAGAGGATAGTGACTATTCTACTCCATGGTCATTTATGAGGCATTTACTCTCAGCCCAAACTAGTGTGAGGTCTTTCTAGAGAACCATTTGTCAATACCTATGAAAACTGTTACTGGTTTTCTAGCAATTCTATTTTCACTTATCCTATAAAAATGATTGAACTCATATATATTGGTATGCCTACAAGGATATAATTATAATAATCTTTATAGTAATGAGAAACTAAACAACTATAAATAGAGCAGAGGTTAAGTTTTAAAGTGAAACACCCATATCATACAATACTCTGCAGTTCCCAAAAAGGAAAATTGGGATTTCCGCTTCTGGGTAGGATGGAGTAGTTTGCAGTCGAATATTGCTCCCAGTGAGAACAACTAGAAAAGCTGGTGAAACAGGTGATTTTTGTGGTTTAAGAGAGTTGCAGAAGCAGCAGTAACCAGGGAAGTTAAGATTGTGGAGAGGGGAGAACCATGGCGAGGCAAGTTGACAGTCTGCAGCCATTTGCATTTGCCAGTTCTGGCAAGAGGCTGAGGATCCAGGATTCCCCAGGCAGAAGTCTTCAGGTGGGACAAGAGAAATTAGCAGTGTTTTTATAGTGTTGCACCCTGGAGTGACAAAATTAAAGGCTTCAAGGACCTTAAAAATAGGCTGTTTTCATACCTTTACTGAAGTCTGAAATTTTACAAGATGGGAACCTAAAAAGCTAAGCCCAAACTTCTTTGTAAAGCAGCCAGAATTTTGCAGAATCAGTGCCAAGAAGATAAAGGGCAGAGTTCAAGACCTCTCAAAAGGAAACATTCCAGTGAATAAACCAGGATTTCCTTTGAAAGCCCTAAAGGGGTAAGCCCTAGGAACCATTTGACAACCACCATAGTAGTAATTGCTCAGGTGAGAAGCAATCAGTAGGTGATAAAACTTCTGGGTGAATGTTTTGGGGTTTTATTTTGTGTGTGTGTGTGTGTGTAGAACAGGATACTCATATAATTTCTCAAAATACCTCCCCCTAAATTACTTAACTACAGAGAGAAGAAAAAATAGTAATTTACCATGGAGAAACCTGGCTGACACAGCTTAACCATATGGAATGGGACAAATAGATATTATGTGCCTGTTGCTAGAATGCATTGAGAACACAACATCCCTCTTGTGGTAATCCTTTCAAAAATGCGTAGCCTGAATCTAATCATGAGGAAACACCAGACAAACCCAAACTGAGAGACGCTCTATAAAATAACTGGCCTCCACTCCATCATGGAAGATAAAAATTATGGAACTATTCCAAATGAAAGAATACTTAAAGAGACATGATAACTAAATGCAGTGTATGATCATGGATTGGATCTTGGACCAGAAATTTTTTTAAATTTTGCTCTAAAGAATATTGGTGGGAGAATTGGTGAAATTTGAATAAAATTTGTAGATTAAATATTTTATTGTTCATTTCCTGATTTTGATCATTGTACTGTGTTAAACTAAGACTGATGATTGATTTCTCATCAGAAATGACGGAAGCAAGGAGACAATGAAAAGACATTTAAAGTTCTATTGTGAAAAAACCTGCCAACATAGAACTTTTTACCTAACGAAAATAGCCTTTAAAATAAAGATGTTCTCAAATAAGAAGAGTTGATAGAATTTGTCACCATCAAACTTGTAAAAAGGAATCTTAAAGGAAAATCCAGATAAGGAGAAATGATCCTAGTTGAAAATACGGAAATTCATGAAGGAATACATGAAGAGCGCTAGAAAGGGTAGTGGTTAAGTATAAATAAATATTATCTGTACAAAGAAATAGAAATGTCTTTAAAATATATATTGACTTAAAATCTCTATAAGAACAAAAAAGTTGGGGGAGGCAAAGTGAAGTTAAAGTGCTCTAAAGTTCTAGACTTATTGGAGAAGTGATTAAAGTAATACTGTATTAGACTATTAAGTCAGAAATGTATATTTTAATTTGTAGGAGTAACCACTAAAAGAATAATAAAAGAATGTATAAAAAGCTATTAGAGGAGGAAATACATATATATATACACCCACTTTTTTAAAAAAAAGATATATCTTTTTATTGATTTCAGAGAGAGGGAGGGGGAGAGAGAGAGAGAAACATCAAAATGAGAGAGTCGTCATTGATCGGCTGCCTCCTGCACGCCCCGTGCTGGGGATGGAGCCCGCAACCCGAGCATATACCCCGACTGGGAATCAAACCACAATCTCCTGGATCCTCAGTCGATGCTCAACAGCTAAGCTACGGCTGGCTGGGCACGAATAATATTTTTTAAAATAATCCAAAGGAAGACAAAGAAATAAGAGAAAAAGGAACAAAGAAGTAATATAGTAGATGTAAATCTAAATTTGTTATTAATTACACTAAATGTAGATGGACTAGATTCTACAATTAAAAGACTAAGAATGAATCAAAAAAAGTGGGGGTTTTTTACATATTCAGTTATTTATTCCTCTTGAAGATGGGAAACTAGACTATGGATTAAAATTTCACAACTATATGCTGCTAACAAAGGACACACCTTAAATACTAGCACATCAAAAGATTGAAAGTAAAAATATTAGTATAATTGGTTTAGCTAACCAATATCAGGCCCAGTAGACTTTAAGGCAAGAAACACTACTAGAGATAAAGATGTACACTTAATGATGTAAAGGCATCGATCTACAGGAAGACATAAACCCAACCATATCAATAGTCATGTTAAAGAAAAGTGATCTAAACGCCTCAAAAGTCTGATTGGATTTAAAAAGACCCAACTATACTTCACCCACAAGAAACCCACTTAAAAGACAAAAATAGTTTAAGAGAAAAAGGGTGGAAATGTTATGCCATACTACTATGGATTCTTTTAAAAACTGAAGTGGCAATATCAAAATCAAAGTAGATTTCAGGACAAAGAACATTACTGACAGTAAAAAGGTTTATTTCATGTTAAAGACTTCAATTCATCAAGAAAATGTAATAATCTGAAGCATTTATGCACATAAGAATTTCAAAATAAAAGAAGCAAAGTAATAGAACGGCATAGGAAAACAGGCTAATCTACAATAACAGAGATTTCAGCACCCATCTTTCAATATTTGATAGAAATAGAAAATCACTGAACAAAAAGATGACTTTAATAATACTATCAACCAACCCGTACCGTGGTATTTATAGAACACCCAACAAGTGTCAAATACACCTGGCTTTTTAAGTGCCTATGGAACATATATCAACTTAGACAATACTCTAAGCCATAAAAACACATCTCAATACATTTAAAAGGATTCAAGTCACACAAATATCTCCTTTAATCACAATGAAATTAAATTAGAAGTCAATAACAGATATTTGGAAAATAAATAGCATACTTCTAAACCCCTGGGCCAAAGAATCAGGAAGTAAGTTAATATTTTGACCTGAATGAAAATAAAAATACGGCATGTCAAACGTGTGGATGCTGCTGATGCAGCCACCGTAAACAGGCACGAGGGATCTTATCCAGCTGATAAAATGTTCTAAAACGAGACTATAGTGATAGTTGCACAATTTGGTAAACTTACTAAAAACAAGTTGTACACTTAAAATTAGAGAATTTTATGCTTTTTATACTTCAAAAAAGTTGTTTTTAAAAAAAACATACTACTGGAAAGGAAGAAATAAAACTTTCATTATTTGTAGACAACCAGATGGTGTGTACATAATAAACTTTAAAATGGATCAACTATTAGAATTAATAAGTGAGTTTAGCAAGGTCACTGGATATAAGGTGAGTATTGAAAATAAATTGTATTTCTGCATATCAGCTACAGATAACGAAAACAAAACAATATCATTTAGGATAGCATCAAAAAAGTCAAATACCTAGAAATAAATCTAACAAAATATGAAAATCTTCCATACTGAAATCTATACATTATTGAAATAAAATGTAAATAAATGGAGGGATATACTATATGCATGCATTAGAAAGTAATCATAATGTGAATTCTTTCCAAACGGATACACAGTGTCAAAGCAGTCCCAGTCACACCCAGCAGGTCTTTTGCGGAAAACTAAGCTGATTCTAAAACTTTTATGGAAACAGAAAGAACCAAGAATATCCAGGGAAATCTTGAAGAACAACAAACCTGGAGGATTTATACTCCCAAGCAACCAAGACATTAAAAGACTGAGGTGATGAAAACGTATGGTATTGGGGCAAGGATAGACAATGGACCAGTGGATCAGAAGGCAGAACCCAAAACGTGTATTGTAAACAGTTTTATGACAAAGGGATACTGCAAGGCTGTGGGGAAAGGACAGTCCTTTCAATAAGTGGTGCTGGGTCAACTTGTTATCCACAGGAAATGAATTTTAACCTTTACTCTTAGCAGACTACAACCCAAAATCAGTTTCAGTTGGATTATATATCAAAATTTAGGAGGTCAAACAATAAAGCTTTTAGAAGAAAACAAAGAATACCTTTATGAGCATAAATCGTAAAAATAATCTTAGAAATTATAGTAGGCAAAGATTTTTAAATACGACACCAAAAAACAAGTCAATTATCATTGAACAGCATTAAAACTGGAGTGTCTATTGATCAAGAGACACCGTTAACAATAGTGAAAAGAGCCATGGAGTGGAAGATACTCAAAACACACATAACCAGCAGAGGAGTCCTATTTAGACGATATGAAGACCTACAAGACAGGAAGCAAAAGTCAAATATACCAATAGAAAATGGGCAGAAGACTTAAACAGGACCTTTACTAAACAGGACAGCCAAAAAAATCGATGAACATTAACGGCTCAATCAGGGAAACAAGACTGCAGTGAGATCAGCTGCACACACACCTGAGTGACTAAATTGAAAAATATATATATATATTTGTCAACGATGTGTATCAATTGGAATTCTCATGCATGGATTTATGTTTTTGTTCATATTCCAAAATATGAAGGAACGATTTGAAACCATTAATAGTGTGTTGGGTTTAGGGTTATGGGAGGTGTTACACTTTTAATATTTCTACTCCTGTTTAATTGTATGTTTCATGTTTTACTATTACAATCAGAAAAAAATAACAAGGTTTACATTTTGAAAAGAAAAAACCCCTCTCCCACCACACACGAACACCAAGACCCGGTGCCTAAGGGCGTCTCCCTAAGGGGCTTCAGCAGCCTGCAGACCAGTCTTCACCTCCCAGTCCTGCACCTTCCCCCGGCGCAGCAGTCCTCCCACCTGTCCTCCCTCCAGGTCAGTCCTGGCGGCCCTAGCTGTGTGACCTGATGCATTATTTAAGCCCCAGTTTCGCCTGTAAAGTGGGGATCATAGAACCTTCCTCACAGAATTGTCATAAGGATTGAGATGGTCTAGCACAAGCGCTTAATGTTGCCAATTTCTGTTTCAGTTAAGCTTAGTTGGACAGCATTGCACAGGTGACCCCCCCAACCTATCAAAGTACTGCCCCTCTGCCTGGTGCCCTTACCTCTCAGCTGCACTTCCCAAGTCCCCCCTTCCCCCCATCTTCTAGGTCCTGCCCAAATGCCAGGCGGATGATGCTTTCCCCAGCCACCCGTCTCCTTCTGGGTGCCTTCCATCACTCAGGCCTGTGATAATGGGGTGGGGTGAGGGATCCACAGGACAGGGCACCAGCTGCTCTGGCCCCTGGCCTCCAATATTCGCAGCCTAAGAGGCCTCTCCTTCGTGGGCTCCTAAACCAGAATGTGTCTGTTGGGCAGCCTCCCACCCCTGTTAAAAAAGGAGAAAGAGAGGCTCAGGACCTGGGGACCTCACCTGAGGCAGGGAGCAGCAGTTAGAGCGGCAGGGCCCTGCCAGGCCGGGACATCCGGGTTCCTATCCAAAGCCTTGGTTGGGTTAACATCTCCGTATCAGCCCCGGGACAGAGGCTGCAGCACTTCTCAAACAGTCCTCCTCGTGGCCCTGGAACCAAAGGCTAGATACCTGCTTCCTCCCTAGGTGGGGGCCAGACACAGATGCAGTGCAATTGTGGGCCACCCCAATACCCGGTCTCAGAAAGCCCCTAGTCTGGGCTCTGGAAGCAAGGGTGTGGGACAGAGGACCACTTCATCTGCAAAGAACAGAAACCCAACTGCAATTGATTTAAGCAAAGGAGGCCGTTTATTGGCCCGTAAAGCAGAAGTCCTGGGGAGGTCCCAGCTTCAGGCATGGCCGGATCCTTGGACTTCAGCTGTGATGTCAGAAACGTATCCCTTCCTTTCTCTCTGTTCTGCGTCCCTGTTCCAGTTTGGTTCTCAGGCAGGCAGTCCACCTCCACCTGTAGTGGAGGAATGTCCCCCATCACCCAAGACTTGAGTCTGCCAGGGTAGCCACCCCAGGGGAAGGGGAAAGTCTCCTTCCTGTTACCTAGAGCGCCAGGTCCAAGGCTGATGCCGGTTGACCTAAGCCTGATAATGTGTTTGCCCAAACG